GCCGATGTTCTGTCGAATCATTATTGTATAATTTTCATAACGCGGCTTTTAATTAATTTATGTAACATTGGACACAGCACACGGGGGCGCGTAACGAGTCTTGGAATTATTTTCAAATTATTGTACACAACGTACGGTGTGACAGAAGCTTGAAGTTGTAATATTGTACACAATGTCCAATATACAGAATTAAGCTTAAAATTATTTTATGTAATATTGGCGTTTCGTATGATGGAGTAGAAAGGTGTTAATGACTATTTCAATATACTTCATTTGTACTATCTATAAATTTTCAGGTGATTCGTTTCGGTTTCATTTTCTAGATACAGTTCTTTGTGTTTACTTTTTCATACTCTTGTAATGGTACGGCTGAACAAATAATTTAAACAACACGGAAATCGATATTTATTTTCTTCATACACATGATATAGTTAGCAGTTTATTTTATTAATTAATTCGTTTCCAGATAAAATCAAGTAAATGTGCATTTCGCTAATTACCTGATGTGTTTACAAACATTATTGATCGCCCGACTGATACAGCTGATACGCCAGACGATCGTAGTTTGTTCGTTTCTCGTCAAGCAATTTTACCCCTGCAATAATTCATGAATTCATAAATTGCGGGAAATGTCCTTCCAATTGTCACATAAATAGTTACGTAGGAAGAATTGAAAATACTCCAGTGGTACATCTGAAGTTCGAGACCTTGAAAATTCCAGATTATGATATCCTAGTTGTATTTGCTTAATATTGACTATAAGAATGACTCGAATGAATGACAGTTTGTTAAATAAAATGTAATTCACCATTAGCCTGAACAAGCATCTCTTTCCTTCAAAGCACAGTAGTTTCGTTCTCTTTGGCGATAAATAAAAACAATATAATGAAAATGAAATGAAAAACTATTAAGAATTCTGATTATTTATTAAAACCATAGCTCGATGAAGGCACTGCGAATAAAGACATGCTTGTTTGGATTAACGACGAGTTTAATTAAATACAGGATGTTTATGTTCCTCGGAATAATGTTGATGAATGTTTCATGTTAACAGGAACGATGTTGACCGATATCACGGAACTTCCCTCTATCAAGCTCGGGGATTTCGTTCTTCAGATAGAGCTGAATTCGCTTAGTCCTGAATTGCAGGAGGTCGCGAAGAAGGAACTTCGCGAGAGCCCGGAAGTCCAGAAAGAGGCCATAGCTCAATTCATGGAATTACTGAGAGGTAAAACGCCACGTAAACAAACCAGCCTCGCAGAAATTAAGCTGGTAAATTCCACGGAAAAAAGTGCAGAAGACATTCGCGTTGAAAATATGGTTTCAGCATTGTTTCTCAAAGTTTTGTTGAAATTGAAAAGTTTACAGGAAGTGGAGTCGAGCAGTTTGTGTTCTGATAGGCTGAAAAATCACTGAAGAGAGTAATAGTTCGATTAATTTTTCCAATTCTTCCACTTCTCCTTTTACTAACTCAGTGAAGTCTTCTAACTCTTCTATTTCTTCTACGTTTAACGGTAACAACACAAACATTCACTTCTCGTTTATTTTTATTAATTGTATTGGTTATGATTTTCTTTTTTATTTGGTTATGAAAGAGACATGAGATATATGAATCGATTTAACAATAAGAAGAGTTAATATGAGGAGTAAATAGTATAAGAGTTGAAAGACATAGTGAACCTCTGTTATCGGAACAAGGTCTCACTGTACTGGTTCAATTGATTTGTAACACCAACGATTTCGCCACCGAAACCATCGAGGTTCGCTATCCTGGCGTTAGAAGTTAAACTGTTAACCATTTAAGTTGATATCCTGAAAATCCTAAAAAATCAAAGACCAAAAGCATCTCGAAAATTCTAAGCAACAACTGTCCTTGGTTCACAGGGGAGACAGACCTGAAGGTACCACTGGAGAACGAGGCCTGGTTGATTCGTTTCCTCAGGCCGTGCAAGTACTACCCAGATTCGGCATTGAAACTCGTGAAGAACTACTACAGCTTCAAGGTGAAGCACGCGAACGTCTACGACGGCCTGAAGCCCAGCAGAGAGAAGAACATCTTCGACCAGAACATCCTGACCGTGCTGCCTACTCGAGATCAGCATGGCCGAAGGATTCTGATTCTGGAGCTGGGCAAAAAATGGAAACACACCAAGTGCACCCTCGACGAGGTGTTCAAGGGATGCGTACTCTACTTAGAGGCCGCCATTTTGGAACCAGCCACGCAGATCGCTGGAGCCGTGGTGATATTCGACATGGACGGACTCAGTCTTCAACAGACTTGGCAATTCACTCCACAGTTCGCCAAAAGGATAGTCGATTGGCTTCAAGACGCTGTACCCCTCAGGGTCAAGAACATTCACATTGTCAACCAACCGTACATCTTCAACATGGTGTTCACGTTGTTCAAACCATTCCTTAGGGAGAAACTGAAGAATAGAGTGAGTTGGGTTTCTTTCTCTGGAACACTGCTGCTTTAAACCACTGGTTTTCTAATACATTCAAACAATTGAAGTCCTCTTAGTAAGAATGTTTTCGGTGGTGTCATTCATGAGAATTGGAATGTTGAAATGGAACTTGTCTGTAAAAGAATGTGAACTTTAAAATTAGTCATACGTGAAAGTAGGAATGACATTCACCGAACTAGGAATGTGTAAAGTTAAAGTTACATATGAACTCTTTAAAACTCAACTTAGACAATGTTTAAGATTTTCATCCATAACGGTGATGAGAAAGTAGTAGAAGAATCCACGGTGTACCTGAAGAGTAATACTATTCGTTATCTTTTAGAATCTACTTCTCTTCTATGTATATTAAGAGATTAGATTTTCACAAGTCTTAAATTGAATTGCATTTGTAGATAATGCTCCTAATTTATGTATAAACTTATTTTACAATGTATGACATACATACATACATACATACATACATATATGTAGTATCCGCGCCTCCCATACCCAACAATAAAGAGTCAAATAAGAATACGAAACGTAGGGTACGGGATTAGTCGCGTAGGTAAAGCGGTCGACTGTGGATCCGAGGATCGTGGGTTTCGAATCCCCGTGCCTTATTTTTCGTTTAGACTCTCCTACATATATAATTCGTTGTTCTCAGATTATCTTCCACGGCAAGGACTACAAATCGCTGCACGAATACTTATCGCCTAAGTGTTTGCCAGAATGTTACGGTGGCAGCTTGAAGTTTCCACGAATAACAGGACCACAGTGGTTGGAATTGTTGTTAAAGTGCGACAAGGAATTCGATGGTACGCAAAAAGAATATATAAACAACAGATGGAGTATTTCTGCAATAGAGCAATATCTTCGCCCAATAAACTTTCATTTGCTTGAACAGTTCTGTGCCATTTTGTTATACCTAATTACCTCTGTTTTCATTTTCACAAAATTTCAGTAAGTATTCACTTTAAGAGTGCAGTAATTATTGAAGTACTTCATTGATATATTTTTAATAGATTCACGAATACATTAAGTATATTAATATTTATATATTATATACATATATATAATAATATTTATTTGTATTCGTAAATATATTATAAGAATATTAATAATGAAGTGTATCAATATTATTGCTTAAAGTTAATAAGTCCTGAAATTTCGTGCCAATTAAAACATAAATTATTGATCTTAGATTCGAGAAGAATCTTTATTTTGTTATAATAGTTTCATCCGAATGAGTTTCTAATAATAATCGATGAATACATTTATCTACAGAAGCGTCTGTTAGTCATAAGTAATTACGTATAATTCAAACACTCATTCTAATATTGTGACTCATAGTGGATTTAATTTGCTTTTTTTCAGCGATCAATTCCTACGGTTACAAGAAACACTAGCTTGTTCACTGCCACGTGTCTCTTGGAAAGGCTGAAGAGGAGCACCCGTTTCTAAAAAAGATGTCGACAATCGAGAGCTGAGTCGATTTTCATGCAACGACGACGGTTGTGGGTCTTGGGTCGACGCGAATATTAAGATTTGTTGGTCGACTCGTCAACTTGTTTATAAATAATATATTTCCCTATCCAATTCTCTCTACAGCGATCGCATTTTTTGCGAGAAAAGAAGATGAACACGAGCAACAAGCTTGCTGGTGCTAGGTTTACTTACGTTTTGTATTATTATGAGAGAAAGAGAGAGAGAGAGAACGAGAGAGCGAGAGAGAAGAGATATTTATCTACAATTAGAGTGATTTTGTATGGAATATGCAATTGAATTGTCGTTAGGAGTTTATATACTATATTTACTATAGACTAGCAAATAAGTAAATTTATGTGAAAATAAAATTAGTTTAAGCAACGAACGCTATGCGGATCATTTAACGATGGTGGGTCTCTCGAGTCACCAAATTACCTTCTTGTTAATTTTGGGACCTGGGAGAGTAATAGCTTCACAGGTTCAGTGATTCGTGGATTAGAAAATTTGTTGTTTAGGCGACAGGGGATTGATAGCGTTTGTTGACCTTTTTTCTATGACAAAATATTTTCTATGGCAAAATAAAGGACAGTAGAACCTCGATAAATGGAGATTCAACAGTTACATGAAAGTAGAATTCGTTGCACCGAGTTGACAAGTGGATGGGATGGTTATTTAGCAATAAGTGAAGTTGAGAGTGAGGCTACCGTGTAGCTCTAATTGAATTGGTGGCACATCATTGCTTAAGGCTCGATTCTTGCACGTTCGGTTTCAGTTTTCTGCAATTATCGAGGATTATCCTATTGTACTTGATAGCAGTGATGGGCAAAATTTTATTCGAATGATAAATAACCAATAAAATTTGGAAACATTTAATTTGAATTTGTTCATTATGAAATACATCACTCCATAATAAAAACTCTGGTTTTCACTTAACGACTAACGAATAACAATAATTTATCTTTTATCCGAATAAGAAATTTGTCCATCCTTGCCAAATGACACGAATAGTGAGTAATTAGCTGCAACAATCGGTGATACTAGGACAGTGATTAATTATACCTACTCAGATCACGATTAGAACTATTCTTTATTGGAATCTTCAATGATTCTAACAACTCATACGTTAACATATTTTTATATTGTTGTAAGTCTTGCACGGCTTAAACAATTGCGTTATATGTTTAAATTGTCGATAACACAATCGTCCACCGCGTTTTTAAATTCGAGATTCAGGATTGAACGTCTCCACTGAATCCAATAGACAATTCGTATCAAATTCATTGGAAAACTACCCCTTTATTGCACGTAAGGTGACTAATATCTCATTCATCGATAACAAAAATAATTACATCTAGCTTCTTAAATTACTTCTTAATTACTTCGATTATAAACGCTAAACTCTCTCGGTTTGTACACTTCCACTGTAACCAATTGGGACGAAGAAATCCTTCTCCCCTTGTTTTCCGGACAAAATGGTCATTGCAACCTGAACATAAAATACGAAGACATAGCAAGCACCATAACATCATCAGATTTCACTTCGATTTCACTATCTTTGACAATGAATCACAAAACTAGTCAGAGCTTTCAATTCTCTTTTTTTTTTTTTATCCTGATGCTCGTGCCGAGGGTTCTCTTCATCAGCGACACAATTTTCGATTTTCTTTGTTTTGGAAACGAACGTGTACGTTTAGATTGTTACCTCGACGTGTTTCGGTGTCGACGATCATCGGATTGACTTCGAGCCGCCATTTGTTTTATCGTGTCTCCTTCTTGATGTATCCAAATTTGTTGGCAGCTGCAAAAGAGTAAAGCGAAATTTAGTCTACCTCTTGATGGAATTTCAACAAGAATTACTATATTTTAAATGTTGCAGAAAGTGTCTGGGAGGCTAGCTAGATTATATTTTAGGTTATATCGCAATGAATTTGTTCGAAATCATAAAATAAAAGGAGAAAATAATTTCAATTTCTCATAAAACGCGCGATTATTGTGCGCCTGCGCTCTCTGCTGCCTGGAATTTAAATTAGCAACACTGAAATACGCGCCATTATTTACATCTCGGTAACGAAGCATCAAATTGGAAAATGTTAAAGGACTTCTTAACTAATATTTCCATAGAAATCCTTGAAAAAAATATCTCACACTTTAGTAGACGCAATTTTCTGGGTATACTACTCCGTTTACATATACTTATTTTCTTTTAAACTTAACGTAATCTGTCGCGAAATTTTGTATACTGAATTTGATGTCATTCCTAGAGGATTCGTCGGTGCTAAAACGAAGTTTCGAACTTGTTCGTGATCCATGAATTTTCTCGAAATGTTAATTATTCGCTATGACGTAATTCGTCAACGATATTTCGCGGTCGCACCGACATCAGCATTTTCTGTGCTGTCCATCGAGGAAAATGATACGTAAGCCGGTTGCGCAACGATGCCACGTTTCTAACAACATCTGTTAATTACGCAAAACACGAGTTCCAGATGCAACGATCGCCCCCCTCCCCCTAACGCAGGAAATCGTTTGATTAGGGCTCGGTTGAGCGAACCCTTTCAGGAAAATTAAACGATTGCGTGTCGAGGCGAACAATTCCTTGTCAATATTAGAATTGTGACGTACTATATGTCCTCCTAGAAAAATTATCCCCCAAACACCCATTGTGACCGTGAACAGAATGATTTTACGGACTAGGAGAAGCTGTTGTTCTCTGAGCGAACGTGAAACAAAATTAAAAGAGTTCTTCAAAGCCTAGAATACTTATACTCGCGCAGCACACTTAATACGAAATTCTTCACCATTTTAAGTTTAAATAAATTTTCTTTCGCAAGATAAAGTAAGTTTTCGTGCAAAAAATTGAAGTATCCTCTGTAAAATATATGTCTAGTTAAATGTAAGAGTACGAATAACTTAGAATGTTTGCTTGCGGTCGTTGCATAGAGCACGAATAATAATTTTAAAGGAATAAAGTGGAACTAAGAACAGCTTACATTCGAAATCTTCTTCGAACCAGCAGAAGTACTCGCATATACCCTCGCCAATCGGGACATTTGGCACGACCAGCTCTCCGCCTAACTCAACGGGAAGAGGTTTCGTGCCCAGGTAAGAAATCAATGACTTCCTATCCGAGCCGTGGAATATAATCCTTTTACGCGTTTTCTCCTGCAAAGTATCAACATTTTCCCTGTTACTATGGACTCAATCGAGAGGAATAATTCACTTTATATATCTGGTACGTGTAACGAGCATGTGCTGTAAATAATTAACAGGACCAATTAGTGTATTTAGACTGCTGCTTTCACCTTGCTTCGCGATCAATGACGAATCGTGAAAAATATTGAAGCATAGATGCGGCTCGAATCGTTTCGTTACTGGTAAATTTAATCGTTGTTTTCTTTTCAACAAATTCTAAATTGTTTTCTTCTTACGTAACTTTTTTAATACCGATTCAATTTGTATTCGAGATTTTGTCAACTGTTTATCGATATACTGTTATAAACGAACAAATTCAACAAAAACACAAAACAGTATTGCGGTGAAACAGTTTGATCGAGTGTGTAAATTTTGATTTGATCATCGTGGAATATTTCAGTTTCTGAATCCATGTTTACTTTATATTTAACGAGAAACGGATAAATAGTCATTTTTACTCGATTCGTTACGTGAAATGTTTATAAAGATATGGATTTCGCTCGTTCCGAGAATGTAACGAGTAATAAAAATGTAAACTAGTTTCATGAATGCCTACCAGAAGGAAAGGTTTGAAAATAGCGTAGACCATGTTGAATATAAAAGGCTGATTCACTATGTGGATGCCCTTAAGACGACAAGGCAAACATCTTTGCACCCAATCTGTCATCGTTGCGGCGAAACTCGGGGTAAATTGCGTGACGTGGCTCAGCGAGAAGCCTTCCATATTAAAAATTACGTGCACGCCAGAGATCTGAGGGAATAAAGTATGCATTAAACGTGGCGCACTGTGTGTAGAAACAATTTCGCTAACTGATAAATCAAATATGGAAACATGATTACATAAGTAACAGATTTCATATGAATGACGATGTCACTTCTCACAATATTTGCTTATTCATTAATTAAAACTAACATTTGTATATTTCATGTGTATATGTCAATTTTATTTTCATTATATCTTTGTGATAGCGTTGGCAATGAATTGGCAAGGTTATCGCCGATGAAAATGTGTGGAAACACGACTACATTTGAATAATTTTTAATTATAAGCAACATAAACTGATTTAGAAATGATTTCAATAATTTGTAATTGAAGTAGACGAGACGAATTCGTGCTTGGACTCATTTTCATCGGGAGGACCTCGCCAATTCAATGATAATGCTTCTATAGAGATATAAAGAAACATATGAAAACTATTTTTTGACATTACTGAAATAAAAATTTCTTGATACTTGTCAAAATTTTAAATTTTCTACAAACCTATATACTTCATTTCTTCTTTTACAAACCTGTGTTTTCGGTTCGGCCATGGCAGCGTCCAGCGACAGTATAACCGCTCGAAATATTTCGTCGATGTTGATGACCTTCGGATTCCATTTTTTTCCAGCGTTGATCAGAAGTACTCTGCAACCGTTCGAGGTGCGTTCTGGCAATGGGATCAGTATTTCCGAGGAGAGCGTCTTCTTCTCGTTGCTTGGCACTAAATTTTCGCAGTAACGTGGATGACTCAATCTGAATTTGTAGAACCTCTTCATCTGTCGAACGAAAACAATCCAGACATTTCAAAATCATTTTTCGTCACTGTACAGTGTACACCATTATACATCACTGACTCGTGTTAAAAGTGTCAGAAATCGAAGAGTATAAATTTGTTATAAAAGAAGTTTCCACATATCTGACTAAACAAGATCATTTATCTACTTTTATATCAACAACAATTAATTTAGTTATTTATCTCTGAAAAATTAATTATTGAAAATTAATATAAAATAGGAGGTGAAAATTTTTCGCTCGAAAGATAAAAATATTTTTATATATGAATTGTAGTAAGTTTTCTTTTAACATTTATTAATTTCTGTAATTCTAAACCGAAAAGTCAATACGTAAACTAAATAATAACTTGGTTGAGATCGCTAAATTATCATCTGTTCATCGGAGAATAATTTTGTTTGAGAAATGTGTAAACAGAAATCTACTCACCAGTTCGAAGGTACTTTTTGGGTACCACTTGCAAGGTCGCATGAACTTCTGGAAAAATTCATCGTCGTCCGGAAGGATCAGATCGGCCTCGTCTGAGAACAGAAGTTGAGAAGGTCAGAACCTTCACGGTGTTTATACGCATGAGAGGTAACTGACGATAAACAGTGTAATTTCGAGACAAGCAGGAACATATAAATTATTGCGAGTCGTCGGTCATTAGTTGGATTGGAAAGGCGATTCTCAGTCTCTGCAGACTATTGCCAACATTGAACTTCAAAACTTATCCTTGATGCTGGCGATTCAATGTCACAAAGGGTGAAGTCTTTAACCATAGCTAAAATAATTATTTCCCAACAAATCATTTTCGTCACAAGCATTACATTATTTCTCAAAAGGAATTGGATAATACAAGTGGATCTGAGAAAATGGCTTTGAAGAGTGTAAACTTTAAGACTTGTTCCTGTTTAAGCAACTCGAGAGACTCCGCGAGTAAGCGAAACTTTCATTTTCAACCGACCGGTTCTGAGCATGAAAGAGAATTCGCATATCCTGTCGTTGCACTGAAACGGCACAGAATCGTTAATCGAATTCCATTCTCTACTGTCAGTGCAAACGTCTTAATTGTCGTAAAAGTAATCATTGAAATTATGATCGCATATGAGAAGATTAATGAAAATCAAAATTTTACGAGTAAGAAAGTATAGCGTTCCCTCGATAACTGTAGCGACTTCCTCCTCGTTGATCGCGCGAGATTTTCCCATTCAGTTGGCTACAGTTAGCCGACTAGTATAAGACACTCTTTGACTCTCTGGTGCATGAATTTTATTTTACCTTCCAAAGAAGAAGGTATTTTTTCGTTATTTGTACATCCGTGAATTAATTGATAGTAGGGAATGTAGAAGTACCAAATTTCTTTTCATATTCGGAAAATTAAAGAATAGTGGTAGATATGAAAACTAGATGAAACACTACGGGGAATTTTGTTTGGAACGTGTGATATTAATATAAAAGTTGTAGGCCTCGTAGAACTTTTCAATTTTCAATATTTTCTGAGGAAAGTATGAGTACGGAGTTGCGTTCCATTGCAAAACAATGAGCTCTGACAACGTAAACAGACAATAATCATATGTTACATTTGTAATGTTAACCTTAATAATAATTTGAAATTTTTTTAACTAAGATCGTTTCTCCTTTTAGTCAGCTATCCGATTAACGACTTTTCTCAATCTAACTGATAAGTGTCATATCAGGTTTTAATTTTCTCTGATTTGATTGGCGAAAAGATTACTTGTATACCAACTTAGATCAATATTAATTTTTGTTATTCAATAAATGTAGATGTTATCGCTTGTATAGCCTCGTCGGATAAAAATAAAAATGTTGTATTATACAATGAAATATTTCATATTTAATTTCAATATTTCGCTCGATGAATATAGATTAAAACCTTTATTATAAAATTAATTATTCCACATTTAGAATGCGGTTAACACGTTCGTTGGAATTTGCTTGCCGGAGAAAAAATATGTCTAATTGAAGTCGACTTGGCGCCAATGAAAATTCCACGAATGGAAATTGCGAGAACGGCGAGAAATAATAAATAAATCGATTTCCATTAAAGCAAGCGAACGCGCGTAGCCTCGACGACGAGCGTTGCAGCAATTTCATTTACACTTTTGTATCGAGGAATCGCGTTATTAGTTAGCAGCAGCAATTAATCACCGAACCACTGGAATTACTCATTCATTTATTCGTCGAGGTTTTTGCCCTCGTGTAAATTAAATTTCGTTCAATCACTTAACAACTTCTGTGATGGAATTCTTCCTCCAGACTTTACGTCTTCAAAACGAATTGAAAAATTACATACATGTCGATCTGCGAATCTTAATCCTTTGATTAACGATAACATGGACAACAAATTACACAAATACCTCAAAAATAAGAAATATAGAAATCAATGATTGATCGTGATGAATATTCCCAATATTTCGTTCACGTTGAATATTATATTATTCACGTTTGTTTATTCTAACTCGCGCTAAGTATAACATTGTGTTACAAGCAATGATTAATGTAAGAATGACCTCGACGAAGGTCGAAACCGCCAGGTCAGTGGCAGCTCCAAGTCATTCTTTGCGCTATATCCCCTCCCTTCCAGGTAGGTTCCACAGGACAGTTACCTTTAAGCATCTCCCTAATGTCCTTCAAGGCCTGCTGAACAACTTCTGGCGTTTCCCTCAGCTCCATTATGGCCTTCTCCTGGTATTCCTCGTCCCCGTCGTTGAAGTCGACCGTCAAGACGAAATTGCCTACCTTGAATTGGGGGACCTCCCTCAACTTCGTGATCGTCCCGTCGGCGTCCTGGTCCTCTTCCCTCTCCATGGCGGAGGAACCGTTAACAGGTCTGGCCATCTGTTTGCCAGGGAGGACTTCTATCTGTCGGACATACATTGTCAGCCTCCTGTCTAGTCAAGGGTTACACCACCTTGACAATTTCGAAAATTCGTTCCTTCATTAATGGATAGGTTCGATCATAAGGTTTGGCAATTTTTCCCCGAATAACGAGTAAACAATCACGAATAAACCTTCTAGAATTTATTGGTGAATAACAAATAAGTCCTCGAAATTTGTTTGTGAATAATGATTTTACTCGAGAAAAACTTAGTCGTCATTCACGAATAGATCTGTACCGTTCTTCGAATCAGATTTATTCGATTAGGAGTTTCTTCGTTATTCGAAAGGCCGTATCGACGAATCGCCTCCCTAAATCGAAAACTAAAATTCCACTTGATTTTTACATCCCAGCACAGTGCACTTCGTTTTTCATTTAGAAAATGGTTATTATTGAAATTCAGGTAAACCGATTAAGAATATCTGTGGCTTCGTTTTAATGTTATTTATATCTAACTAGGACACGGGATATACGAGAATGAGTTTTAATACTATATTTAACCAAACCAGAATCTATAAAACGATTCAGCCAGGAAACACGATAAATACAAACGAAAAACCATCTAAATTCGACGCATCAGAAATCTATGAAAAGAGAACAAGATTTAGACCAGTGTAATGTTCTTTAGTTTTATCAAAATATCATCAAATTCTAACGAAACCACAAAAATCGTGTTGACGGATAAGAGGTTAGTACTCTCCACATCTTCCTCTTCCATCGCGATCGTATTCGTTCAGTAGCTCAGCTGTGTGCGACGTTAAGCTTGCGATTGGTTGTTTGGTGTTTCGTGTTATTGTACTTGACTAAACGACACGTTTACAATGTTCACACGTTATATTACCTCGTTTTTCAGAGATTTCGATCAGGACAAGGGGTCTGATTAGGAGAACGCCGTGACATTGACGCGACGAGGTTTTGAACCATGATAAATAGGGCGCGTGTTTGATGCGATTCGCAACTGTTTCGCGATGATTCGACTTCGATACGATTTAGCTGCGGAGATGGGCAAAATTCTTATTCAGGTGTAAATTTGAATAACAAATGAAAGGTACGTAGTTTCAAAAAGTGGTGGAGTTAAACCTGTTTCAATCTGATGGACAAAATTTGTCTAAATACTTCGTCAATATTCGAGTGATTTGAAAGAAAAAACCTTTCATGAATTAAAGAGTGTTTGGAATTGGAGTAATTAGGACTCGCAGTTCCAAGAAATGGTGGGGATAAACTTGTTTCAACCTGATGGGGAAAATTTAAGTCTACATGAATTCAACTTCTATAAATCGAAGAGTGCTTCGAATTGGAGTAATTTTTAAGTTTATTACTTTAGTTTATAGTATTTTGGTTACGTTTGTGGAATTAATAATGAAGACTATTCCTGTGAATCCAACTTAAATTTGAAAATAATGACACTCGCGCAAATATTTTCCCTCTGTTCATTCACCTTTTAGTTAGAGTAAATTCTGAATGAAGATATGTTATCTTTTTTGCTTTCATTTCTAGTATTTCGGTCAAGTTTGTAGAACTAATAACGGGTGACTCGAGTTAGAAATTCAGGAAAGGTGCCGTCGACGCGATATTCTTACATCATTACTTCAACTCGAGGGTCAATGTGAGATCTCGTGTAATCAAAATGTATCCTACGTGGCGTGAATGATCATTAGCATTATCGACCGTAGAATTTTGGACACCTTTGCGGAATTAATAGTGGGTAACTCGGGTTAATGATTCGAAAACTGTGCCGTCAACGCGATATATGTACTTACCCATTGTCAGTTAATCTCTTTCGCTGCTGAATTAATTCCTGCTGTGAAAGGCCTTTGCGCTATATTCATTTCATGATCCGCTCTTTAATAATTATACGTATAAATAAACGTAAAAATTCAACGAAGAATCAAAAAATTGTACACAGTTGGGCACAGCAAAATTTATATATTTAGATTTTTTCTTTTGTTTTTGCGCGTAGAATAGCATCGTTACGAGGATAAGTTAATTTTTCTGGTACGTACACATATGACTCGCAATATTGCAACGTCGCAGGAATTACCAACAATATTCCAAATTTTTAGTGAGATATGTTTCGTATAAAATTGATGAAACTCCTTTGTTATTTCTGTTTGTATTGCTTGGATTGTATTTATAAACTAAATTTTAAGTAATGGAACCAGCTAAATTATGAAAATCAAATCGTTAACTAAATGTAGCTACTTTCTGAATTCGTCCTTTGAACCTAACACTTGGATATTACCAAATGAAAACGAACTTTGATCGAGGACTGTATAGACGATCTTTATTATTTTTGTGATCCTCTGTTATTTCTGTCCTCTCGTTCATAAAATCGACGTGTTTGTGCTGATGCAGCATAATTTTGAAAAGCGTGCCGTATTCTTCCGAATTAGGAAACCATTGAAGAAAGTTTGACGTCAGAGTATTTACAGAGCCACTATAAACATCGAGTCTGATATTTACACGAGTCTGTTTGGTATACGTAAACATTGTTTTGTCGCCTAATTTGCACAATTGTCGGTCGTCTCGTTTAAATCTTCGTGTGAGACTCGAATTTAAACTATGAACTGAATTTCTCAGAAACTTTATTTCTTGCAATTACACTGGGAAGATCGAGAAAGACAACTTTCCCTGAAAAGTCAAAGTTCGTCGTTCGTGGAACGAGTGAAAGTAAAATTTTGAAATCTTACAGTTGGGAAAGTGGAATTTCCTGAAACTGGAGTTCCTTTTCTCGAAATGATGATTCACATGTTATTCGTATCCAAATATCGACACGGGTTATTATTCGCAATGACTAACGCGAATTTTAAGGATGATTAACGAAAAAAGTATTTCGAAATATGTACTTTATTTTGCTGATTATTAAACAAGCAAATTGACTGGGAAGTCCTAATTAAAGTAGTAATTTTCGTCGATATGAGCAGGAAAAAATTGCATTTGGAGCATCGAAGGAAAATCAAGTTATTGATACTTACAAAGAACGACGTTCGGACCGATTGTATTATTGGTATTTATGGCTCATTCAGATCAAACCTTAAATAATACAAATTCAGCCAATGAATTACTGAACTTTGAAATAAACTTTGAAATAAACAGATGAACTTGGAAACATTATTAGTTACAAATAAACTATCCAAGAACTCAATTACAAAGGAAAATTGACGAAAATAAAAGGTTAAACGTAAACAAACTCACAACGTAAACAAAAATAAGCGTGAAACGAATGCTTGAATGATCGTCACCATTTTTCAACGGTATGAACAATGCATAATACTATGAAAGAAATATCAAATCTTTTGTTCGACACACATTTTGAATGTCACGTAAATTACACACAATCATCAAAACAGTGTCTCTGACAGTGAGTTTTTAATCTACAAAGGGAAAGTGAGTTGAACAAAGCGCAGTATCGTGCAAAGTACATCCTCTGCAATATCTATTTATGTTTCATATCGACGCACACTAATCCAGCAGCTCCCTACTCGATAAGATAATTAAACTAAACATCAATTACTCTGTACAGGCAGTGATTCCAAATAAACTCCACTTCGAGATCGATTCGTATCAATGATACGTCTTTATTTCAGTTTCGAAACTTTTTCAAATTTATCGTTTACGATAAACATTTGATTGAGTTCGAAAAATCAATGAAAGTCGACCAAAGAGTTTACAAATTAACATAGATTCGTTGTTAATCCTTTGTGCCAAGACAATTTTGCTGAAACTATTTAATTTTTCTTTTTCATTGAATAAATGTTATTTAATACACGAATAGTTGACAACAATTATGATGCTTGGTCAACAAACCATTGTGCAGTAAGTATTCCGTAAAAATGTTCCTCTTGTATAAGAGTTTCTTTTTTAATTCTGAGTCCGCTTTTTCTTTTAGGGGTTTTTAATTCATCCACAACACAGAAGAATGATTTCATTTTAATCTACGGTGTTTTCCACTAAGATCCCTGTATTTTATTCATAATTTTCGACGCGAAGTATATCTCATTTTCTTCTTATCAGTGCTGGAATTCGATTCTTTGTTATTACCCCGCCAAACCATACTTGACATTGATATACTTTCATTACACAGAATGTTCGAGTAACCTGTTTACATTCGACACATTAGTAATCATTTTCTTCTGTTTAATGTCTGATTTTCCTTTTCCACTGGTCTTTATGTAATCATATATTTCACAGGATTGCAACAACGTTATTTTAAGCATCGATTGCAAAAACACTATGAGCACATATCGAAAACATTGCACACAAAAGCAGTCGATCTGCATTTCAGTATCATACTGATCTATACGAGGAAAACATTATTCAACATTATTCTGTTCTGTTTGATACACAAAGTTTCCTTCACCATTATTAAGAAATGCCAAATTTATATAAAAATATAATCTTTAACATGATAAGTACTTTGATATACAAGATGATTTCAAATTGATAAAAAGGTGTGATTAACAGAGCTGGAATAATTTAAAAAAAAAATGTTTCAGGGATAGATCCTGAACAGTAAAAGTAATACTTTAAATAGATAACGAAGTTTCAGGAAGTAAAATTTTTTTACTTTGACAGACTGAAATTTAATCTTGACAATGAGAGTATTCAAGAAAAGAAATGATATATTTCTGCTTTTTAAAATGTAACAGTTCTAAGAATTAATCCATTTAATTTCAAAAATAATTGTTTCGTACAAAACATGAAATATCTTCAATTATTGTTGCCTAAATATCACGGTAAACTCAAATCTCCAAGTCACCAAAAACAAATGAAAACAACTAGAACAATTCACCCTCGACAACCGTCGTCTCGAATGGCATTTCATTTCCGCAGTTACGCTCGTTAATTAAAACAAAATCGACCATTTCCCGTTTAATAAACAAAGCACACTTTTCCCAGCGCTGGTAACAAACGATCCAACATGTGTAACCGCTAATTGTCAAGCACCGTGGTGGTAGGTAGAAAGAACAGAATGCATCGCGTACCTGAATAAACCAGGAGCTTGGTGTGCGTACCTCCTGGGAGCAAGGTAACGGGATCGAGATGATACTCCTGGGACTAAATCGACGCTCTTCGAGAATCGTGCTCTGCCCAGAGCCGGCTGGGAAATTTACTTCTTCGAGGTGGGACCGCTCACACAGTTCTGGATGCTCGACTCGTGCGGCTGGATGTCATTTCACGAGATTTCTACGCGAGAAAATTCTTGATCACCGCGGTAGGACCTGGCTTATCGATCACCGGAGTCCTCGAGTTTCCCCAACGTTGGAGGGAGACGAAGCAGAGCGAAGCGACCGAGCGCGGAATGCGATGGCGGAAAGGATCCAGCGTGGTCGAGACACCGGTGAAGACTGAAGACACTGCCTCGTGCTGGTGTATCAGAAATCGGTTGGAAAGCGAGAGGTCTCCCACCTTCGACGTGCTTGTGACAGTAGGAAATACAGAAGGTTATCCTTTGTCACGACTGGCCGCAATTAAATTTCAAAGTGGCCACTTGGTGTCAAGTGTCGGACATTACAGCCGATGTTGACCTGTTGCTCCCATCTGCATTTTCACGTTTCACTATTCACTAGCGATTGCTCGATAGCCTCCCGATTCAACCTTGTTTTTAGTGCTACCTCGTATGGTGATGATTCCTTGGTTCAGTGAGTGTCGTGAAAAATGTGCTTTGGGGAATAATTTTCATGCTTGGGCGAGCATTTGATCCGAGTAGATTCGACGGGAATGGAGTAGACTATGATGTACCTGTGCCGAGGACAGTTTTGTTGTTTTTTTTTTTATTTTTTTATTTTGTGTGTGATTTGATTTGTGTGTGAAAAGTAGGTATTTCGTGAACTGTGCATGATGTGAAAAATTTGGAGTCGAAAATATGCTTAATATTGAATAAAATTTTATATATAATAGGTTTGATGTAGTCGTTTCAATTAGTCATTTGAAATATTGAGAATTTATTCAGAATATTTATTTAAAGGATTTGTTTAAAATAGACTCGAACACATTGTCTACTTGACTTATTTATTTAAAATAGATTTGATTCGAATAAGTTATTGACATATACCGCAGGTCGAAACGTACATTATTGTAAACAATATAATACAGAAGCATCAATTTCAATATTATTATTTTTACTAGCCTTCAGTTAAGTTAAGAATTCTCAATTTTCCTCTGTCCTTTGTTTGTCCGTTTTCGAAATTTGAGTCACGGGGCGTCACTGATGCAATGTTACGAATTCCTCTGTTACTGTCACTCTCCCTGTTTATTACGTCCTCGTTTCATACCGAATCGCGTCACAATGAGTTGGGTCAAGTTCGAAAGTGTTCGAGCGTTATATAAATGGCCGAGAGCTTTCGTTTAACCGCCTCGTCTACTTTTTACTATTATACAAACTTACACTTCCACTTACACCTCCACTTCTCCAATTGCAGTCGGAGTCAGGTTATTCAAAAATCTCGCGTGTTGTTGGAGTATCGAATTTTGACACCGTCGAAGTTAAAACCAGCAAAATTTGAAATTCAATTTTGGTAGTATCTTCGCTTCGAACTTGTCCCTCGGTACATCGAGCTTGCGCGTTAATAGTTTCCGACCACCTACTTTCAGGAATTTCATAATTTCCACTTCGTTTTCTTCCGCTTTCTACCTTCCTGCAGTTTTAATTGGAATATTTCTGTCTTGCTCCGATGCGTTTCGTTGGGTAAGAATTTGAAAAACTTCGATCGCAATGTGCCACCGGTTTTTAAATTATTCCTTCTCGAGGGTTCAATTTCCCTTTGAAAATTGAATTGAATTTGAAATTGAATTTACGAATCGGTAGAAGGATTTGCGAGTGTAAAAGAGAAAAGAGATTCAACGTCGTTTCAGCTGTCAGTTTCAACGAAAGCATCATTGTACAATGTTTTATGGATTATAGTATGGATTATAGTTTATATCAAATCGAATTCGGAATTGTATTTGTATTTATTTATATTTTTGTTGATACATTAAATGAATTTATTAAGTAAGCTCTGCGTCATTTGAATTTACGTTTGAATATAAGTTTGAAATCAGATTGATAAATGTAGAAAAATGATTTGTAAACACGGGAAACACATTTGATGGAATTTTAATTATTTCCCTTTTTTTAATAGTAATTCATTCCAGGATTTATAAAGAATTATTTTCCAAAAAGATAAAAGTTGAAACTGTTGCATATTAAAAGGTAATAGCTATGCATGACTCATATTCTTGAATAGGAACCAGTTCAAATTTAGAAATTTCTCGTGGTGAAGACAATAGATTGTAGGGGATATTTATGAATTATTTATCAGGATTCTTCATAAACTTAAACGATCCAGTCAAAGACATAAGAGAAAACGTAAATTAAATATTCACTTTATAGACTTTCGTAAACTTTAACATCACACTTTCATTGTCAACATAGAGTTATCAACATATAATTACACGTCGTAGCCATGAGACGAAATTAGAAGGAACGAATACTTAGACATTCATCAATTCAAACATTTGCAAAAAATGCACATAAATTACACATCGTGCACACATTATATAGTTGTACACACACTAAACATTGCATACGCAATGTCACACGCATTTAACATACCTGATCTTATTACGGTCATTGAAATATCGTCATTTCACTTTTAAATCAACCCCACGAGTACAATCCTAATGTAGTAAGGGTCACTATGTCACGTAAATCGTGGAAACAGTGCTATTGCGCGTGGTATATATGATTACGACGAGATTACAATTGCGAAAGCGACGTGTTCAGGCGAAAAGAAAGCCTGTGAAGTTCAATTTAAAGCGTGAAAGTTAAACGACTTGAAAACTTGCTCCGTTCGCATCTTTTCAGAACATTGTTTGGTGTTTAGGACATTGGGGTTATAAGGAAATGAAAAGTTCTGATAATAAAAGTGCAAAATCCAGCCGAGTCAGTCCAGATTAAATGCTCTACGCATCGATCCATAGATCACGTATTCAAATAATTTCTCCTGTCATTGTACTAAACAATATTTATTACTTTTATTTTTTTAGAGGACATCACCCAACATTAACTTGAAATTTCACTAGAGTTATGTTAACGTATAATATATGTTAAATTATTACCGAAAATTCATAACAGTAACACAAGGATAATTATTTTTGATTCGATCAAATTGAATAGCAGGACGGTGAAACATGGAAGAGTCGATATTGTACCCAATTTTCCATGTCATTAAATGAATGTCCTACGCTTCGCATAGTTCCTGGTGACAGGTTGACAGGAACCTGTGTCGGCATATTGCTGACAGACTGTTGTCATGAGACCGACATGCGTCGTCACGTAGTAGCTAATTCTATAACAGCTGGTCAAACTGCTGTCGCGTGCATTCGAGTTACGATACTCTATCAAAAAGGGTTGGCAGTTTCAACTTTATCGTCCGCCATTAGTCTAAGCCAGTGCTTCTCATATCTCTTCTTTTTATGAATTCCATTTATAAATTATAATATGTGGTAGGACTCATAAAACAGAATTACATGGTTATACTTATATCGTGTTAGAACTATAAGATGTCATACTATTTAATTAGAATTTTCCATAAGGTTTACTGCAGTAACGCGTAAAAGTAAACATAAAAATGGACTCACATGGTTCTTTTTGACATATATTTAATACATACTTAATAATAATTAATAATTTACAATACATTTGTGGTAATTGAAATGGTATTAAAAATTAAGGATTTATTTGCGTTAAATAGTATTACAAAGAATCTTACCCTTTAATTTTCAAGAGAAAATAATTTTAACAAAACGGGAGATTTTTTTTTATTCCTCTACGGGTTGTGCTCTTTTTCTGAAAACCATGGACCACAGTTTGAGAAACACTGACAACGAATCCACTTCAATAATAATTCCGCAGCCCATTAGCTTTCTGATTTTCCTCTTTCCTTGCCGCTTTCTACTATTACTTTTACTCTGTTACAGTTACTATTCTCAGCGTTGCCTCGTCTGTTCATTTCCACCTATTCTACTTCCTCTTACGTATCACTCACTCTCCGTTCCTTCCTGATATTTGTCTATTCCTTCTACTACACTACAATCGTGACTCCTCCGCACCTTTGGGTTCTAGTTCTTGTTATTTCATTGGCCTCTTTAACTTGCTATACAATGTAAACTGTAAATTACCTTATCCTTAAGATCATATGTTAATACAATACATGCAATTCATTTATTCAATGATTCCACCTTTTGGTTGAGAATCCTAGTTATTTTCTAATCTTGTTGCGTCCTTTTTCACTTTCCCTCCTATTCCACTTCTCATTTTATTCTCACCTCTTTCCCTTTTCTAACTCAAAATTTACCTCCACAATCTACTTCTACCTGTACCCTAAGCTACACTCCACCTGAGCAGTTCCTCATATTTCACTTTCCTTCCGTATCTGTTTTTTTTTCTACTTCTTCCTGTTCCTTCACGTTTCACCTCTCTGACCGACCTTCGATAATTTAATCTCTTCCCTGTTACCCCCACTTCACTTCCACCTTGAAAGGAAAGCCTGTTTCCCTTCCACTTCGTTCCTCACCTCCTCATTCCATGCGATAGCAACAGTTACAAGCCAGAATTAGACACTATTCTAGCGAATCTTCGTTTTAATAATTATTTAAACAAAGCAAAACGCAATTACTTGTAATTACAAAAATGCGAACAGATTAGTGTGCTATTTTTGATCTTTTGTTTGGTATTTAAAATAGAAAGAGTAATAATTGATGTAATAATACAAAATATATGTATATTATAATTAATTGCATGTTTTGTATTTCCTTTTAAATCTAGTATCTGACACGAAAATAATTCATGGCTATTCAGCAATACACATTTCTAAGATACAATACACTTTCACACTTCGAATTCAATGCGACTCGTTTACGAGGATTTTGTACCCAACGAGCCACGAATTTGATCTAAGAGCATTTTTTAATTTACAGAAACAATTGCCTATTGTACAAAAATATATACTATTAATTACAATTCCATAGGAAATATACAAGGGTGGGCGAATTGTGTTATTAGACGCTAAAAAGTTCACACGATTTGATCAGTGAAGCACTTAAAGTATTTTGTACGACGGAGTGCGATCACGCGAAGATCTTCAAGGTAGTTTCAAGTATAGCTTTGTCATCTTACTCTTTCAGTCTGTTACTTCTTGCGATATCCGTATGAATTCCATTCTGCAAAAAAGTAAAAAGTAAATGAATAATTCGTTTTAGTATTTCTCAAAAGAAAGCTTTCCTATCTGATGAAGAAAATGTATTACTGTTGAAGGAACCTACGTAGAAATATAAGGCAATCCATTTGTATTTTTATTTATCCTCAATAAAGCTGTGTAAAAAATAATCCGGTCGTGGAAATAAAGTATCTTACTACTACTTCAAAGTGTATCAGTTTACAGCTTAGAAAACTATTTATGAACACATACCGCTGTGTGCGAACTGTTCGAAATTCAACGAGTGCAACGGGTTAAGTATATACCCCGTTCGCATTCCTCGTTTTTAATATTTCGTAAATATTTTTCTCACCTTGAATCTTGTCCTCGTATTTGATCAGGGTGGGGTACCAATCGGCACTGGTGTAGTCCATTTCCGGAAGATCACCGGCATAGTTCTTTGGCAGGTGACTGGGTGGAATGTGAGCGTGAAGGGACGTCATTTTGGATCCGTGGAAGAACATACGCTTCCTCAGCTTTTCGCGAACGAAGGGTTTGAACATCTGCCAGACCATGTTGAAAAGGAACGGTTGCTTTACGATGTGAACCTGGAGAGATTCATTTATTTATTTACTTTGTCAAGTAGGTGAACACCAATTACTATACAGATGCATGCGCTGTAGGATTCACATCAAGAAAATAAATAAAAAATATCCAAGAAATAAGAAACAGTGACGTATTTAGTTTGTTTCATTTGTATAATCATGTTCATCGACGGCATTTGGGGTCGCAACCTATAGATTAAGAAGCCCTGATCTAGACTATTGGAAAATATCAGAATTGATACTAATTTGTATTGTCATGTATTTCCTTCATCGTATAATTTTCCCCGTCATCGTGGAAATTTTATAACACGTTCAAATTTGCTTTTATAATCCGAGGAATAAAATTTCCATAAAGCATCGTGATTAAACTATTACGAATGCAACTGGTGGAATCGTTATGTATCATCGAGAAATTGAAACAAGTTGTATTCAAATTTGTGTTATAAAATATAATAGTTGATTAATTGGCGGTATGCAAATGTTACGACAAGAGGAAAGTTTGTTGCTCGATGATTCGAATTATTGATGACAATTTAATTATTCCTAATATCAGACCGTTTCATAAACCTTTGTGTACATTTATGTAGCTTGCAACTGCTTAACTCTAATCTTGTTTATACATATAAAAAGTTAATCATATTTTACTGCTTTAGTAGTAGATTTTACACTTGCAATTTTTGTTAACTGTTTGTTCTTAATAAAAGTACTTCAAGCAATATTTAGGAAGAAACACTTTCAAAATTCTTACGTACCTCCTTAAGTCGCAGAGGTATAGCATCTTGGATGAACGTCAGGAGCTTCATGCTGAAGGATGGTGTGAATCCCAACACTTGCTTCATAGTTAGCCCGTCGAAGTCCATTATCACGGTGGTTCCATGTATCTGTGAATATTTTCCACGGTATATAATCAAGGTTTTTCTAGAGCCAACTATCATGAAATGAGAAACAAAAATAGATAGAGATAATATTTTTCGTTTGTGGGGGATGTACAGAGAAACGAACTGACTATGCAATCAAAGACAATTGTAAATTTTCTTAAAGACATAATTCAATTCTGTCGTCAAGTTATCTCTTGTTCTCCAGTTTGATTGTTCTCCAGAAGCGTGTGATTCGCACTTGATTCGTACAAGTTGACTGGTACTGTTTACTCTCATTTACGCGTTTCTAGAATTCGGTTTATTTAATAAAAATAGCTATTCGTGACGCTTTCGTTGATGTTAAATATTCAGTGTTTCGAAACGTGTTGCTAAATACTGCGTTAACCGATCGTCTTACCTGTGTTTCCGGTTCCAGCATCGCGACGTCGTGGACCAAGTAAAATAATCGAAGTATCTGATCGGCGCTGACTTTAGACGGATCCCAAGTCTTCCCACAATTAACGAAGAGCACCCTTCGTCCTTTGTGATCAGTCCCCTTGAGGACGTTCACGACATTGTTCTCGACGATGGCTGCTTTTTCGTCGGCTGGCATCAGATTTTGAAACAGGCTTGCGTTCTTCTCCTTGAAATCGGCGACCCTCTTCATCAGCTTGTAGGCGCTCTCCGCGTAAAATTTCGTTGGCCGCAGGAATATCATCAGGAAGTCGTCATCCGTTCTGAAGTAGAGGGTCTCATCCTCTGATCAGAGAAACGTAAGTTAAAAGAGAGATGTATACTACAATCGAACGTTGATGAATATTCAAAAACTGGTGGAAACGCGAAGAAAAGTTGAGGAAGGTTGACACATTCATAAATGCAGATAACCGTTGCTACGTTTTGATAAATGTCAATAGGCGGTGAAAAATATTGAATGTTCAAAAATGTTAAAAAATGTTGAGTAATGTCAGAAAATATTGAAGAATATCGACAAAGCGCTCCTACAAACAAAAACCAGAGATCTTTATTGTCCATTTGCCTACATGAAGTTCAATAGCACAATTGCTATTAAAGTAATTTTGTTTTAACTGCATTTGGTTATGTTTGATTGATGGTCAGAAAAAGATAGGCGAAAAACAAGTAGTATTAACGTTTAATCGTGCTTGTTGAATATAAACTTCCAGACGAGCTACGCAGTCTATTAAGCCTTGTCATCCATTTAATATTTTATGTTTAAGCCGAATAATAAAGTGCACATTTACATTGCAAACATTCCAAGTGCGAATGTTAACTCGGAGCTCTACATGAAAGGTTAAACTATGTTTCGATATAGGCCTCGCGATTCTCAGCGCTCTGCATATTTTGTTGACGATCTTTCATATGTCTAACCAATGTTTACCCTGATAACTCCATCCAACAATGGAGGAACCTTGCGACACACCGCGATTCCCAGTCCTTTTTCGGTGTTTTCCCGATAAATTATGATAATGTACGCAATTATGAGTACGCAATATTGACTGACTTCCAATAGCATACATTTCATATAAATCATTCAAGAAAAAGTGAATATTTAGTTTTATCTAGTTTTCCAACTGGTTAGTCCCTCGATTACTGGTAATTTAATCTAATTAGTTTTTAAGCTTTTTACTCTTTCAGTTTCAGATTTTGTCATGCGAAGTCGTATCTTCTCATCCGAGGTGAATGTAACGTATTCTAATCTATTTATATGCGCAACAATGCTTCTGTTTGCATCAAGTTACAGATAAACTATGCAAAAAAGTTTGAACTTGTACTCTTTTCCTGACACAGAAACCAATCGACATTGACAACTTTAGCTATATCTCAGAATACAGGCGTGAGGCTATGGAGAATCCAATTCAATTGAGACACGCTGAAACAAAGTTTGTTAAAATTAGGAAATATTGAAAAATTCTTGGAAAATATAGTGATACTTAACCATGCTTGTTGAAAATAAATTTCCAAGTAAGCTAATCAGGCGATTAAGGCTTGAAACCCACTTGATATTTCATATTCGACGCTAAAACATTTCAATTAAGACAACAAAAATTGGTGAAAGTTGTGAAAAATGTTGAAAAATATAAAAAAGTAGCGAGAAGTATTGAAAAGATACAGAAGGATGCTAAAGAATATTGAAAATACGAAGAATACGATCATCAAAGTTCCCATCTTATTGAATTCCAAAAAACCAGTTATCGCTAACATTTCCATACGAAAAGTCGTTTCCTTCTGAATCGCGACTCAATCCGCGACATAATTAAGGACGACGATTATGAATTCCGAAACGGTGCACGATGTTGAATGACTTTCGTTTCACAGCCACGGAAGATCGACCTGTCCTCGCGTGCCGACCAAGGAATCGTCTTCCGTAGGAAATTGTCTCCGTGATCCTCGTTAAGGAAATTGCTACGATCTCTATTTGCCCGGCGAAGTTATCAACGGCACTTTCGAATAAGTGAACCTTGAGTTGAAGCACAAAACCAGAGGAAAACACCGAAAAAGGACTGGGAATCGCGGTGTGTCGCAAGGTTCCTCCATTGTTGGATGGAGTTATCAGGGTAAACATTGGTTAGACATATGAAAGATCGTCAACAAAATATGCAGAGCTCTGTGAATCATTGATTCACTGTGCCCGAAGTCTTCTGAATACATTGCTGAGAACAATGTACCCCTCAACTGCGTCGTTTTCATATTGAAATCGTCCTAAGAACGCAATATTCTTTGTTACGTACGTTTCTTACGACTTTCATACAATTATATTATCTATTATTGTATTGTATGTTTAGCGAACTGTGTTTAGAAGATTCCAGTTAAATCCAGTTGAAAATTTGTTAATCAATGTATCCACGGTAACATTCACAAGTAACATCTTCAAGGACTGTTCATTTTATTCGTACTAAAAAAGGCATTGACTGATTACCTTTCATACGAAAGAAAATGTAGGAAATTGTTTGTACTTTCAGTGGTTACTTTCAGTTTAGAATATTTAAAAAACTTGAAAACTGTAAACCTCAATGTGGTTAAAATAATTTTGTGACGAACAAAATAATTGTATTCACTTCGAAGAATCACAATCTTTGGCTAAAGTACCAGTTAAGTGTCAGCTTTTGAGTGGTGTACAGTACACCCTGACACGATTCAGTTTCATATAACCGGGGAAGGTAGTTTTTATTACACGAGTGAACCTTTTCTGTCTCATTGTCGGATTGAAGCAGAGTCTCGCAAGTATTGCTTCACGAGGAAAGTGAATGAGATCCATCGATAACGAGCACGATGGACCACCAGTGAACAGGTGTCAAATTATCAGCGTGTATTTAGGCTATTTACGTTTTCCAAATAGAAGTAAACATTATCTCTTGTGCCTCTCTTGTTCAACAACTGAAAAATTTGTTTACTTCTGCGCAATCTTATCTGTAAATATTGTCGGTTGATCGGTAAAAATAACAAAGATCGAACTAAATTAAAAAAGCAGAGAGATAACCAAAAAAATTGTTTTATGAAAGTAAACGATAGGAAAACCACCGAGAAGATGAAACAACCAACAAGATACGTTCCATTTAACAAAAATAAAAATCAGAAATATCGCACAAGCGATATCGAAAAATGAAATAGATCATCTAATCGTAATAAATCACAGAAATCAACTCTTCTTTCTATGGACCCCCTAAAATTCTTCCAAGAATGATTCTAAAACAACGCAACCCAGTTGTGACTCTTTGTCGTTCGTTATGGACGTTATAAACATTGTTCCCAGCATTATCAGCGTCGAACATGAATCCACAGTGATGCACTAAGAACGTTATCTCGAGTGTACGGAACTCTGGTTCTGTTTTGTCGTCGCGTAGTGTCAAGGTACGTGAGCTTTCTCGCGTATGGATTCGAGATCGATCGGCTTATCATCGATTCTTGATCGTTTCTAAGCGTTTACGGATTCTCCACGCCTACGAAAACGGCTGCACGAGGAGAACAGGAGCTTCGACATATCGTAACGCAAGAAATGAAAAGTCGAGTTCGCTGCCGCGATAACCGTTATCGAACAAACGAGCGTGACCCTTACTTTAGATTCTGATGCACCCATGTCACAGATCAATGCTCCCAGCATTTCGTAATTATATCGACGTTTGAATTCTCTGACCATCTTGAAATTAGGTTTTAGTAACAGTACGACTTGCTATAGGAAGACTTTCATGTATCCATATCAAAACACAACAATCGATAACCTCTACTGAATGGCTAGTAATTAATTTAAATGCTTAATATGACTATAGTAATGTACCACTCTTATCAATAATTAAAAGAAAAAGATAATTAACAAATAAAATATGTAAACGACAACACGTACGGGCATCGACCTTGCCTCGTGTTAATCTTGTTTATCCCGGAAACCGAGTATTTTTTCAATCATGTTAATTGCAGTGAACTTGTCTCTTAAAAAAAAAAGCATGACAGGTTCATCCGTCACTCTTCCCTGTCCAACAATTTTTATTTTACTCGTTCGATAATTTTCTACTAGGTCCCTCTTTCTATTGCTTGTAGAATCAAATTGAATTTCGTATACAAAATGTTTATTCTATGGATAATATTTATTAATTCTGCACTTCGATCTCATTTGAAGTGCTCTTCAGGAATAGTTAGATAGATAATTCATAATCACAATCGATAATAATTTACTTTGCGTTTCGTCCAAGAAATGTTCTAAAAATGTTCTGGAAATTCAAACAATAGAATCTTCCTAAATGTTTCGAATTTAAACGAGATCTCTCGAACGTTCCTCGTTGGGCGATGTTGATATCGCTCGTCGTGTTGGAAACGAGATTAATTATCGAAAGCGTGGGCCGAAACATGAAAATAAAAACATACTCGAACAAGTAACAAAACTCATTCGGTTTACGCGAGTTGAGAATAGACGGTGGACAATTAGAAGACGATAAACTGATCAGTGATGTGTCTAAACGCAGTCAAATACTCGTATTTCCCAGGTGTGAAAAATGACGTCAAGATCCAACAGTCCATTTGTTTGTCAAAGATAAAGCTCGAAACGGATTAACGATGGATTCTAGCGATTTATCGTCGATTAATTTGATCTCGAATGCCCTTCAATAGATTCCTTTTATAACAACAAAAATTTGTTTATCCATTCTTTGAAAATGTAAAATCATTCGTCGATAGATACGCTTGAAGTTGCAAAAGAAATTTAATTTAAGAAAGCTTAATTTTAATCTTTTGATATAAAGTATCAGATATTTGAAAAGAGTGCATTGCAAGTCATCCGCGGATGTGTATTTGAACATTAAACTGTCAAATCAATGAAAAGAGTTGTGAAACGAGTGAATTAATGTCAAGGTCAGCAACTACACTCGAAACGTTGAAATAAAACAATTGTACTACTTAATCTAAAATCCAATATTAAAGAGTAATTTCTTGTACCTGCCCTGTCTCAATTCACCTAATTTAGTATTCTAATTTAGAATTTAAATCCATTATGGAGATTCTACTAACTCTCGCGAAATACAAAAATGTAATTTTCTGAAAAAACTTCTTAAAATACAAAGATTGTAAAAGATTTAAATGAAAATTGTAGGTAAATGTTTAATTCGACCTCAACATTTTATTACGCAACACTTCGTAATTTTACAAACGGTGTCATTTTATTTCATTAAAGAACAAATTTTGTGAGTAAATTCGGATAAACATTATCGAATTCAAATTCAATTTAATTCTGTTTTATGCTGAATTAAGTCAAACTGTACGGATTGATAGTTCTCTTTTCTTGGATAACAAAGTAGATAGTAATTGCTAATTGCAAACAGGATGTTCGCAATATTCGCAAGAAGATATCTAGGAAATATACGAGTTCAAATATTCACAGATAAGCTTGCGTGCATACAAATTAAAATGATAAGTTTGTTGCATCAAGCAAGCTTTTATTTATATATATATTGTGAATTAATAATAGCTTGTTCGTAATCTGGTAGTGCGTCAATACAACAACAAAAAATATCTAAAATTGCGGCCAGTGTTTATCACAAATTATAATTCCCACTATCATTACAGCGGAGCAAGTATAATCCAAAACAAGTCTTGTTGTAGTAGATAGTTAAAATTTGATTTCATTCTTAATAATGTTTCTGCAATATCTCCTCCTAGCTAAAACAAAGACTTGTCTCCAATTGCTATGCTTTCGTCGCAATTATAAGACGAATTATAATTTGCGTTACATCTGGAAGCAACTACCATCCCTGACCAACTTGCAATTATTCCATTATTTCTTCGAATCTCGCGTCTACTATTAGTAAACTCCGGATGATTATGCATTTGTGACAAGTCGAAACATGAGTAAGTCTACTTGACTTTGTAGAGTTATTTCAATTTCAAATCTTGCTCTGTTTCTAAAAAAAAATATGTATTTGCACAAACATCCGCAGTATAGTCATTACACTTCCACAAATCCCGTGTTATATTAACGTAACAGTAGCAACGAGGACGACAAATAAATAAAATCACTCGAAAACGTACATCGTGTCGACAAACTAAAAGATAATGTAACCATTTAAATTTCAATTCTTTTTCTGTATTTATGAAAATATAATTTTGCACAAGCATTCGCAGCTCATAGATCTTCACTCCTCCGCATTATATTTTGTTTAACAAACAAATAAACGAAATCGCTCGAAAACAATCAAGAAAAATTGCCCCCAAGTGACTTGTTTACCTTGAAATATTCTTTATCTCATATTATCTACTCAAAATTGTTATCGAGAGAAATATATTTTTCGAATTCCCGAGATACCATTCATATCATTGAAACGGTGCTCCAACTCTAATTTCTATAGTTCAACGACACGAAACTCACCCTCCAGGTATTTCTTCAGCTCGGCAAGTCCTTTCTTCACGTTCTCCTCGGTCTCTCTGAGTTCCTTCACAGCCACGGCCCTGGCTTCCGGTCCCGGTGGTTGTAGATTCAACTCGAACGACATCCTCCGCGCTCGCGAAACAATCCAAGTGGCGATTCGGTTGCGTGTCGCGCGACGAAACGATCCTCGCGTCAGGACGACCGCGATATATCTGTGATCCGATATATCTCCGCACGAGGAGAAGGAGGCCTCCTCTTGTCCACCATCTCGCACCAATCTTTGACCGCTCAAAGTCCAGTTGTCGTGGCGGGCCGATCCAGCGGCTGCCAGCCGATTTCGTGTTGGCCAGTGAACGCCGAAAGATGAGACACATAAGCGGCGCGTCACCTGATAACGAGGAAACGGAGTCACTTCGCTCGAGCTGGGAGACTTCCATTGATAAGCGTCGATACGCCTAACCGATGCGCTCACTTCTTTGTGTTCGCGGAAGAACAAACATGGACCTCGATCGCTGGATCAATTTCATCGGCTCACTGGACTTGTATCGGCCGATAGTCCGCAGAAGGTGAGCCTCGAAGTGATGGTTGTTTAGGGCACAGTAAATTGTCGTTTATAGTTAAGAGGAGAAACCACATTAGGAGGTTAATGTTATTAAGTGTTCTTTGTGATTATCTTTTTTACGCGAAAAAATTTTCTTAATTTTTCTTTAACGTTGGGAATATTTTAGTTATGGTTTGAAGTACATTTGGTAATTTTTTCAATTCATTTCACACGGAAATTGTTGAGAAATCAACTGCTCCCTGAGTTATCAATGAGAATTCTGGAGGTAAAAATTACTAAATGTACTTTAAAACATACCTAAAATATTCTCAAACTTACGTTACATAAATTGTTTTCTGTAAAAAAGTTCCCAAGATCATTTAATACTTGGACTCGAAATGTGATTTCTCCCCTTAATTTTAGGAGGACTCTAGGGTCTCGAACGACCCACTTTCGTTTCGATTAGAGGTGCGCTTTATAATCGAATCCCTTTATTGATCATGAGACCAATTGGGTCGTAGTTGTCTGTTAGGATTAGACATGTTAATGTGACATTGATATCGATTCGAGTATTTCAAGCTCCGGTTCTCGTGAGACAATTCAACTTTACTTTACACGTCGACTGCGACACCGGTGATTAGAGGTGTTCTTCACAGTTAATTGGATTGTTGGAGAATTTGAATATTTAATTGTTCAATAGTATCACTTTGTATCATTCGTAATGGTTGCGATGTTATTTGAAAGTTTAATAGTATTGGGGTTCGTTTGTCATGTTTTTATAAAACGCAAGTTGATATGATAGAGACCCTTCTCAGGTATTGATCATGTAAACTTTTCAATTTACATTGTAAATGAAAATGTGCAAAGTTAATTATATGATGCGATGAGGTAAGCTTCAAAGGAATTTCTGAGCCTCAATGGACATACTTTTAGGTCCTCGCGAGGTCTAGTTGACAATATTTAAATAATTTTATACATATATTCACTTTTCAATTAATAGGGTCTTTGAGAATTTGAACGCTTTTATAAGACCCTCTATTCTATTTCCAGTAAAATTCAAAGTCTGTATTTTCATTTACACAATAATGATGTTTCATTTGCATTTACACTATATTCATATATTCTTTACATCCTTCAATAATCAAGTGGAACTAAGCACTATCTTTTCTTTCTTGTTTTGATATATTCAACTCAAGCATTTTACTATGTTCCATTTGTTGTGGATGCTATCGTAAATCTTGATACTGTGGATGATCACTCTATGTAATATAAAACTCTGAAAAAATTCTTCATTTTAATTATTTCAGAGATATATTTAACCTTTTAAAAGTTCTGCCTTCCAGTATTGACATTTAAACAAATTTTCAAATACGTTCGAACCATGAGAATCTTATCTGAAGCAAAATTTCATATAAAAAGTATTCTAATTATAGATCTTTTAAATCCGATAAATCTTGTATGCATGGCTTGATGTTACTGTACCAATTCTAAAAGACAAGAGGCATTTCCTTGTATGACACACGCCAAATTAAATACACTTGACTTTAATCCGATTAGGTAATAATTCGATTACATTTTCTTTTCTTTAATTCTCCATTTAAAACGATTATCTCGGCATCAAAGGAGTCCTCTATTTATTTCGTATGATTTGTACAAGCAGTGGAACACTGACAGATAATTAACACAATATTCTGGAAAGTTAAACATGGAACCAAATTTATTTTTCCAGAAACAGGACCAGTGTAAAATAATGGAAACGGTCTTTCTTTTTGGTAAACTAAAGTACTTATCGCGCGGTGATTACCATAATCATACGCAATAGTATATATTTGACAAAAAAAAATTCATAATCTTTATCATTATATCGCTTCAAATTTGTTTTGCACAAGATAATTGGCACTTTCGTAATCGAGTATGTTGCTCGAAGTGTAAATAAAGTTAAAGACCGGTTAATACGTTTCGATAATTTCTGATAAATTGTGACGTGAAAAACATAGCAGTATTCGTTTAAAAGATCACTTCCTCGATCGATTTCTGTATATTGTTTCGTGTAAACGGGCACGCATTGTTCTTTCGGCAAGATAGAAACGTGAATAACGTTCGTTATGACGAGTTCTGTAACTCGAAGATGTTGCTCCATGAACCGATTGATAAACACGCACGGCAACAGTTGTATTGTTATGCTCACGTTGAAATTGTGCTTCAAGGTCGACAAACCGAGCAGCCGAGAAAATATTTCGATCGTGTTATCGAAAACAACGCATGAACTCAAATTTTTTACAGCGATCAACTTAAATTTACCGTGAAAGTTAATCTCATGTAACTAATGCTTTCAGTTTTTCTTTCGTTTCTGTTACAACAGGAAATTTAGTTTAATTAGCGAATGTTCTTTTTTTGAGCATAGTGTTTACCATTATTATTCAGGAATAAATTAAATACGTAATGCATACTTTGTCTAATGATACGACTGAGAAAAATAAATATTACTTACTTATGTTCAATTTTAATTTACATGAATAGAAAGTATCACGCGGAAGAGTTTATAACGATTGAAAATTTAATTAATGCAGCGTTAATTATTGTTGATAAAGATTGGATAATATTATATATATTTTAGAAGTATATCGACGAAATCAACAATGATGAAAACTTGCGTGACTCTAATTCGTTATAATCACTTGCACGTTTCTAACCATCTATCTTATTTTACAAACAACTCTTCTAACTGTACTCTATGCTTCTTTTTCACAAATTGAAAAGAAAAATATTGAATCTATTCACCGTGAACGTTTTAAATTTACTCTAGCCGCAGCAAACCTGTCGTTTCAGTTCCCTTACTGCATAAATCATGAAAATCGTAAGTTTCGTTCTTCCCTCGGCATTGTATGAATTGATGGTAACACTTTCTGACGTGTCGTCAACTGAACTCGTAAACGTGTTTTCACCTTGTAAAATGACGAAACACCGATCACGTAGCGCCAACATAAAATTTATTACAACTTTCTTGACAAATGGTGAACGTCGACAACCATTAACAAATACAATACATATTTAGTGCTGGAACAATTAGTTTACATAGCAAAAAACAAATACCCTCGCTTAATTAAGCTTTTAGCATCTGTTCGATTATGTGATCTGCGAAGTAGATGCAGACAGATCAAAATTTTATTACGTAGACGTTTTAAAATGATTATATTAGGTACTGAAAATTATATTTATTGTTAAATAATTATATAAATGAAGCAAGAATGAACGCATAATTGAAATATATCTAAAAATACAGAATACATGTATGAGATGCTTGAAAGAATTAACGAATAACTATGTGTATATATTAATTATGTATGAGTAACTGACCCATTACCAAGGAAGGTCATCTATTGTTAGATGCCCCAATATAGAATTAATTAAAAAATCAAATTCTCAAGTACACATCGAAGATTAATAATAATAATAATAATAATAATAATAATAATAATAATAATAATAATCTTTAATCTTCCTCTATCGCGATGCTTGTTATCGGTATATTTCCTAGGTCTATTTTACTAATACGCTACAATATTTTGTTGGTTATTATACCGTGATACGTAAGTAATTATAGAATTGAGATTAGATAAACACGATGGGGAGGAGTCGATTCGTAGCATTGTAACTTGTACGCATCTGTATTGCGCAGCACATGCCCGAGCACGTGGCTAATAAATTTGCCGAATCAGAGATTACTTTTCCCTTTCGTTCAAGTTTCTGTCAACTTTGTTTTAATAAAACATTTCGACGTTAAAAGAGTAAACAAATAACGTTCACTGTTGTTCGTTTAATTTCTCGAGTGAAATCAAAACTCATTCTTGTCGTATGTCTCATTCATATTTCTGTACGTCTGTACTATGTATGTATTCTGTACTAAAAAGTACTTTGCAAATCTTCGAGGAATATTACACCAACGTATTAGTATAATATTGCACTGGAAATATTCTGAAAGCATTCTAACAAATATTACATAAAGAAACTATGACTTTGAAGTAAATGTTAATAACATACATTAAATATTGTATTCGATTGTATAGCATTATTATCTTTGATTATTTACTTTCGCGCGTATATTTAAATGGGGGCGCCGCAATATCGAAACAATATCGACTGTTCAAGGCGATAATTCTGTTATATCAATACTGCTTTTAATACAAGTAGCGTCATCGGTGGTAAAACGATCAAGTTTTTAGTGAAGATAGTTCCCACTGTTGCTACTAAATGGCGCCACCGATACCTTTTAATCAATTATTTTATATTTTTCATAAATACATAATTAATAAATACAATTATTAGCGTTATAACACTACAATATATTACTTTAATATATTATTTAAACATTTATCTGCTTTTACATATGTACCCGGGTCTATAAGATCAGACAGCAACCTATAATCACTATTTGCAATAAACGTAACGTAAACTTGTTTTCCCTGAAAGTAACTGCAATTTAAATATAATTAAATAATAAGAACATGTGTTAATTTATGAAATTTATCATTTTTACGACTAGAATAGACCCTTTAGTCAGTGACGCTATTTAGTAGCAACAGTAGGAACTATTTTTACTACAAACTTGAGTGTTTTCCCACCGATGGCACCACTAGTACTAAAACCTACTGTATTCGTATAATTCAGTGATAGGCTGCTATCAGGTAGTGGTTGCTTTCTGAGATGGACCTTATCAGGGAAGTCATTAGCTCCAGGACTAATCAGACCATTCCATGTAACCTATATTAATATATTTATAACATATCTTGCTGCAGACCAGTGATGGGCAAAACCCTTCGTTTCGAATAAATCCGAAGTTTGCTGATATGTTTGTCTCGTTTCCTCTTTTGAAAATATTCCAAAGAAAGAAACAAGACAAACATATGGGCAAACTTCGGATTTATTCGAAGCCTAGGATTTTGCCCATCTCCGTTGCAGACGCACGAATGTTTGACCGCGCAAGAATTTCGCTAAACGTTATCGACGACTAACGAGAATCGATTGTCGTTCTCGGACCTCTAGCGGTGACTTCCGTAAGACAAATCGCTGCGTGCAGTCGAAACGTGTTAATCCTGTGAAATTCCATAAAATCGCGTGTGCGTACGACGAGAAAGACGAAGACAACGCGAAAGGAGTGAGTGAGAACGTTTGCCACTGCGATATTTGTTTTTCATTGTGTGTCGCCGCGTACGCGGCATTTAACGTCTGTGTCTCATTGGTGACTATCGTACGTTTTATCGGTGAAAATCAGCCAGCGGAAGGGCGCTGCGGCCCGAATTTTCATTTATCGGATGTGCAGTTTCCTTCAGTACGGTTCGCGAGTTTGGTCAGTGATACTATGTCGGACGAGGACCAATTGAAGTCTACGATTGACGGTATTCTGCCGTTCTTGCAAAGCGTGAGTGTTTCTTTTCCTTCTTTTCGCGACGCTACGCTGACGTTCCTCTTCGTTGCTCATCGACCACTGGCGGTTGTTCCTCGACTTTTCGTTACAACGAGCTGGGAAACGAAAGAATTATCTTCCTTTCTCCCCTCTCGTTTTCGGCAACTTTCATTTTCGGCACAGCCGGCGAAAATGTGCCAATGTGACACAGAAATGGGCAGAATTATGATCGAATAATAGACAGTGAATAAAAACTCCGTACTGCGATTTATTCGTAACGCGATGTCGGTGATGTGATCACGCTTGTTTTGGAACGAATTATCCCAATTGTCACATTCGAATCGGTCATTTCATTTAATTCGCGTAATTGGATGATTGTTTTAGATTTTTTAAACGTACCGTGGATGACTCGATCTAAACAGTCGAAAATGTTGCACGGATTAAATAAAACTCTCGATACGGCTGCTAGATGCATAGTTTATTCGCAACGTTAATTCGATTAAACAGTTAGCCGGATAATCTGTCTATTCGTTTGATGGAAAATGCGATTTGATTGCATAATTCATATTGCACATTTATTCAGCAAATAACGTATTAAGAGTTGTTTATCTTAGATTTAGATATGGATTTTGCCCATCTCGCACTAGCACGCGTGTCAATTTTTTTCGGCCCGCATATTAGAGATATTTGGCTCATGACGCCGTATCCATGAATTCGGTTTCGATAATTAACATTCACCAGAAATGTCGAATACAAACATTGAAATGGTATTTCGACTCTATTTTCGGTGCACGTCGTCAATTCATCCCACGGCACTATTTCGTTCTGTCATTCTGGAAATTTCGAGAACTGCTCGTTTTTTTAAAAATCAATCTCTTTTGGTTAATGTTATTTTCCATTGAGTATGATTTTGCAATATTTTCAATGCTAAAAATGATCGCGAGGAAGTTACGATGCATTATACGATGTTTTAAGTATAATTTATTTATGAGTATTAAAATGCATTCTTCAGTGTACAGTAAACATTGTAGAGTGTAGTTTTTTAAATAAATGTAATCCTAACATATTTGCATCTTTGTCAATCCACAACATTTCTATTTCATTCTGTAATATCACTGTGGAGGAAATATCAAAAGGACCTGGATTAAATAACAAATTATTGCAGATCGAATGGAGAGACCCATGGCTTGCTCTGTTATTGACTTTCCATATTGCAGTCACAATGACTGCATTAATGACACGAAACCATGCTAATTTTCAAATTATGTTATTCCTCGCTCTATGTAAGTGAATTTATATTGATAAATGATCAATTGTTAAGCACTGATTAATTAATATTCTTATATTTATATGACTGTGTTTCAGTACTCTTGGTATATTTTTCTGAAAGTATTAACGAAGTTGCTGCATCTAATTGGATGTAAGTACTTAATGTATAAAAATATAGAAACATAAGATATATGAATATTAAAATAATGAATCAATAATACGTTTAATAACATTTATAAAATTTCAATAGGCTGTTTTCAAGACAACAGTATTTTGACTCTAACGGACTCTTCATATCAATTGTATTTTCTGTGCCTATTTTGGTGAATTGTATGATAATGATTGTAAGTAGATAGAAAGTTACATAAGAAGGCTAAATATATCGATTAATGTATTCCTTTTTGTTATCGTGTTATATTTTTAGGCTAGCTGGCTTTATCAATCCAGTCAATTAATGACCAGTTTGAAAAGAGCCCAGTTGAGACAACAAGCAAGAAATCGACAAATAGAAGATGAATCCATGAATGTGAATGGCACTGTTGTAAGGGAGAAGCAGGAATAACGTTTCTAGTCAAATGACAAGAAGTGTTAAAACAAAAAATGAGAATGTACATTACCAAAATACCAAGCACTAGCTTGTTTTTTCCACAAATAGAGTGGTATATCACGGCATTATAATATTCAGCAAATGTTATTCAAGAGTGATAGCATTCTCTAAAAAGCTACTGCCGACATAGTCAGTACTGTAATTCATATTGAAGTTGACTAGTTAAACTGTCGGTAAGCTGTACTTCCAAACTCGTACCGTACATGTACGTGTATTATATGATGTAATTAATTAGAATGCAAGTGTGAAATTTTAAAAATAATTTATTCCATAATTAATTGAGTACTCGAATGCGAGAACCATGAAAAATGATGTAATCTATAAAAGGATATTATCTTATATTAAGGTACATTCCGACATTCTCTGCTTTTATTTTAATGTTAAAATATTCATTACAACTCAAAGTGTTCTTAACACATTACCAGTGTACTTACTAATGTAACATGTATCGCTTCTCGAAAAAAAATTGATATAAAAACACGGCATAATTAGATAATTATGGTTTTAGGTACATATGTATGTGTGCATATATGCGTGAATGAGTATACATTTTTCAGAAAGAATTACTATTTCGATCACGGAGTATTGCGCGTGTATTTGCAACCAGTCAGGCATCCTTAAGTTGTATATTTGTGTAAATCAAAGAACATTTTCTTGCCGTCGTATTTAATGCGTGACTAATCAATTTAAGTAATAAAATATTTCTTCTTAAAACTGTGCTATGTTTTTTTACCTTTCATGCGTTATATATTGAATTTTTACACATAACAAAATACGCGCGTTTTTTAAATCATGGTTTGTGAATCCCTAGGGGTCTGTGAAAAATAATTATTCCCATAGTGTTTCATTATTATTACTACTTAGAACATCAAACAAATTTTTCCCAGCCGCGAACTTTCGAATTGGTGTCTTATAACTTCACACTTTCTAAGTTCCATAATTTTAAGCTGTTTCCAGCGCTACTTAACTTGTGTTCTACTGCGTGATTTGCCGCATTTCTGCGTTTTCAAGTGTTTCACAGTCGTGATTTTAAATAGTGACCACTACTAACCATACAGATATATTTGATATTATTTATTACAGTTATTCTTTATTTTTAATAATTCTATACTACCGATTATTACCGACGTTTGACTTGACCGCCACGGAAATTCATAGTGTAGTGGCGGAGGTTACTAAGGCGTTTCTGGTATAAAGTGTAGCGTTTACTAGCGCTACCTACAAATTGGACGCTAACTAAAAACATGGATTCAACATTTGTGTTGGAACTTTCGACTTTCTAGAAAACAGTGGAAAACAGGTATCGTACTCAACATCGAAACATATATAATGTTGGAGTTTCATCTCTATAGAAGTACTCTGTCTGGACTAGTATACTATAGTGTACAAATTGGCCAAAATATAACAATGCGTAGAAGTGACTAAAACTTACGATCGTTAGTTACTATTTACCTTTTTTCCAGAGGTATACATTTTATGATTTCAATCATAGTAGCATAAAAGTGAGAACATGATACATCTGCAAACACGTATACTTTTACGCATATTGCGTGAAAGAATTGGTGAAATCAGAAATTATTGTTCTCGAGATAGTTTTGAGAAAGTGTGCTTCGACCGTTATGAAAACAAACGTTTTAAATCGGCAAATGACATTTTTGGAGGTTGCACAATCGCTGAATTTAGTGACACGGAGAAAAATACTCCTCCTGTAAAGAACAGTGTAAATAATGAAAATAGTGCTGTCAATGATGAAGAGAAAGCGCTATCAAATGTGTTGAATATCTGGGATGATAATGTTCCTAAAACTAAATTCAATAAGAAACCAATAAAATTATTAAGTGAAATCAAAAGTCCACAAGCTTTTACATTGACATACCAAAAGATAGATAATGTTAATAATGGTTTACCAGGCCCTCTGGATCTCTGCACTGAAGATCTTTCTCATGTTGGACCTTACATGACTCCAACTTTCAATTTTGCAAAATTTGCTGATAAATCTGATACAATTCAAAAACTGGTTGAATTAGGAGTGAAGTTATACAAATTAGAAGAAGACAAGGCTGTAGTAGAAATGATCATGAGCTTAGATTTTGATAGAGACATAAAACCATATATAAGATTTTTGAATGATTGTGGCGTGCAGGCAGAAAACCTTGGTCATTTTATCACTAATTATCCTAAAATTTTCAAAGAGGATATGGACTCTCTTTATACAAGAATTAGATATTTAAGAGCTCATCGTTTTACTCCTGAGATGGTAGGAGTAATAGTCAACAGAAATCCTTTATGGCTATCGTTCTCAGTGAAAGAAATAGACAGCAAATTAAGTTATTTTCAACATAATTTCAAACTGACAGGTTCTAACATAAGAAAATTAACTGTAAAACACCCTCGTCTTATAACATACAACATGCAACATATAAGAGAAAATACTTTCGCCGTAAAAGAGGAAATGGGCTTTAGTAAAGATGAAACAAAGCATATTTTGCTTACAGCACCTCGTGTGTGGACTTCTGGTAAACATTAAAAAATTAAGATAAGAATCACATATCAGGATTTAATATTTGCGTGATTTACTTACACAAAACATTGTTTATTTTTATTTTAGCCAGGAGCAGGATAGTAGACACTTTTGATTATGCTCATAATGAAATGAAATTATCACATGAGACTATATCTAAGCAACCACTGGTATTAACGTGTAGAGCAATAAGGCTCAAGCAACGGCATAAATTTCTAGAAGAATTAAAGAGGAACCAGTACGATCCTACAAAACCATTGTATGTGTCATTAATGGATCTGATTAATGGCACTGACATTGAATTTTGTACAAATGTAGCAAAATCTTCTATCCACTTGTATAATATGTTTCTAAAGACATTATAAGTTGTATATTTCAATAAATATGTACATTGATAATTTTTCTTTTTTTTTTAGCAGTATAATCTTTATTGTGTACATATTTTTCTTTTAAATATTAGAGTTTCTTAGATACATCTATAGGTCTTTATATACAGATTTTTATATCTTACACACAAAAGAGTTTAATCTTCCAAGACAATATAAAAAATTAGGAAATGCTTTAAAGTATGTAGATTTTATCAGTGTTTCTTAAACCTGACTTTTCCATGAGATGTTTCCCTTTTTTATGTATTTTACAATGTATTCAAAACAAATATACATGTTCTAAAATTTGTAAATGCATTTGAATGGTACTTTTCAGTTAAAATTAATAATATGGAATAATGTTGCTTAAAAATTAAACGAGGGATGTCGTACACACTTATGGAAATCACTCTTAGGTTTAATTCTATATTTAGTTTGTTTTAGTATTTAACCAAATTAATAAAGACTTGTTCATAAAGCATGTGGCGTAAAACGACATTAAAAATTGTAAAATCTTACTACATGAATATTTTTTTTTTCTTATATGTTTCTTTTTCATTTTTCAGACCCTACGAATACCTATGGGTCTATGGATCACAGATTGAGAAACACTGGTTTAAATAATTACGTCAGGCCCTGGTGTTTAGTAAAATGCAGTCAGTTATTAATCCAAGATACCTTACAATATACACGCACAACTCGATTCATTACACATCGCGAAACCTTTCGACCTTCTTTAATACTTTTCATATCTATTGATCTATCTAGACTTTAGTTGTATTTTCCTAGTTCTATCTTTTTCTGTATCGCTCTGACCGAATGATATAACAACGAGTCGATTAATCCGGCGACCGTGAATACACCACCAATGATCGCGCATGTGTTCGTCGCAAAATGGCCGAATGATTTCGCTTTTTCCGTGTATTTTACCATCAACGGACTCAGTTCGTAGCTAAAGAATATTCCGGGCATTCCTGATTCGCCGCTGAACATCGACAGCTGTCTGGAATGTCGTGTCACAGAGAATTGATTTGTCAGTAACGTCGAACCATCGTCGCGAACGTAGGTTGTAGGGACAATTTTTATATAATGATAAAACATCATCGCTCCTGAAAAATAGAACCAAAATTGATGAACTTTACGAACATGATCAGTGTCGAGAAACGATTCGTTTTTTCACATTCTTCTTTGCAATAACTATAAAATAATTGAAAATAGAAAAAATAAAATAAAATGATAAGAAAAAATGATTGATGATTATATAGGATAAGTGAAGATGAACACATTAAAATTTCAAATAATTCTTTCATGGGGAAAACAGAAAATCTAAGGCATATTTGTCAATTTTCTGGGAAAAAAAAAACAATGAAACGTTCACGTAGAGCTTCAACTGAAATGGCAAGTGTCAATACGCAAAAGAAAAGAATTCGACAATTTAACTATTTTAACTGGTTAAAATTGGAAGTCAAAGAATTGTGGATAAATCTTGCGTAACAGTTTAAAGTTAGCGATTTGTAGTTTGAATTGCCCGCCGTTGAGAAAGATGTCACAGGGAACGGAAGCACTGGTCTTTTTCGTATAAAAGGAACTTAATATGGCGCCTTTTTCTGCATGATTCTGTTGGTGCAATGTGTTGAACGATTTTCGTGCAAAGGATTTATGAATCGTAATATAAAGAAAGTACAACGAGACGGGAGATACGATATAAAAGTTTAGAACGACGGGTGTTTAGACTGTGAGTGATGTTAATCATAAATGATATTAATAAATTCGTTCGTACGCGAAGAAAATAAGATTTATTCGAATCAAGTTTTAAATAGATAGTAAAAATCTTTTATATTGGATCAATTGTGCCCTATGAATTCCGTTTCAAGTGATATACAAAACATTAGATTTACTTTTTATATCCGTGAAAAAAAAACTGGAATTCATTTACCGGTTATAGTACACCAAATAGGTTAACCTCTTCGTACCTTTAACTAGATTCAGTGAATATACATATATTTTTTTATATACATCGATCTATTTTGTTGTACATGTCATTGGAATAGAAAACATTTAAAAAAATATATAATTTAAACTGTTTAATCATGAGTGTTTTATCATTGTACTGTAAAATGCCACTGAACATTAAAAGGAAAATTACCCAGCTGCTTTTATAAAAATAAATATTGTCTGAAAGTGGTATATCTTAAAAATCATGTTGCAGACACGAAGAAGTAATAACATATATTGTTATCCAAAAGTATATTCGTAGATTAAAATGCCAGTCGTACCAGGAGGAATGTATCAACAGGGTCCCTCGTGTTGGGACAGGATGAAAATGGGTTTTATGATTGGTTTCTGTGTTGGTATGGCATCCGGTGCCCTATTTGGAGGATTTTCTGCGCTTAGGTATATATTTATCTACCATAAGTAAATTCATAGGATACTTTAATTCAGGAAATAATCGAATGTTTATTGTCAGATACGGATTAAGAGGGAGGGAACTGATCAACAATGTTGGGAAAGTGATGCTTCAAGGTGGTGGAACTTTTGGTACATTCATGGCCATTGGAACTGGGATACGATGCTAGTACTTGAAAACTGTTATGTTCAAACTTTAGGACACAAAGGATTGTAATGCAAGTGCACTTTGTTGATTTCTTAATAAAATATTTCTAAGGAGTATGGACATACCATCAGTTGCAGTTACAGTCATGCCATCCATAGGATTTCTTTTTCCTGGAATGTTCAGCCCAAAACTTAAGTGACGAATCTTGTGGGTCATATTGAATTGAGTTGATCTGTATGGCTGAACGTCGTGCACTGTGTACAATATTAAAAGTATTATAATGCTACTAGATAGTATGCATTAGAAACTTTGGAGTTTCTTTCAGTTTGAGTAAGGTGATGCAATATATTCTGAACTTACCATGAACATGATTAACAGAGAAGCTATTACCAGGTGCAATATGGAAACTTCCTCCTACTCTATTTACTTCCATGTAACCATAGATTTGACACCCTTGGGTAAAGGCAGTTTTCATTTTTTCTAGTGATTTATCATTTTGACATTGTTTTATTTTTGCTGGATCAGAAGGTGGTGCCCAATTTTTAAGTCTGTATGCTTCCCTTACATCTTCACAAGTGTTACAACACCTATAGGGTCAATTTATTTATTTGTATTCACATTTTCCATAAAATATATTTATAAATTTTTGTAATATCGTACTGAATCGTTTCGCTGGCAGCCCCGTAACAATCCCCGCATTCTTTAACAGTAGTACTTTCAACTGTCTGTAAAAGATAGTGAAATTTAAAATAGAACATTAACTAAGAAAGTTGAAATATACAACAATGACAGGTAATTTAATTACCTTTTCTGTTGTTTCTTTAAGTGCTTTTGTGTTAGTAATATCTACAATAAAATGAAGAAGATAATATATTTTAATTTCATGTTATTTCCTTCAAATTTTAGTTTCTTATGATCATTCACACACCTGTTTTCTGTGGTTCTTCTATAGGTTTTTCATTTAAATCTAGACGTCGTTTAAACATATTATGTTCTATTTGCAAATGTTGTTCACCAGTTATATCCATGGCATCTATCGATAAAACTGAAATGCATTTAATTTAATACATTTGTCCCTGTTACCGATTATAAACAATTAATATTAAATAATCACTTACGATCACAAGATATCATAGGAACTATTATATCCAAGTTTATTTTTAATTTAGAACCCCTTGATGTATCTACAAACAGTTCTTCGCTCAGGGTAGGTGTAAGATAATAATTTACTTCGGATAGAAACAAAATGCCCATGATAATGGTGCTAATAATCGTCACTGAAATCACACATGGTGTGCACGGTAAATGTATGAAGGTTATAAACTTTATTTACGATTGATCAAACGTAAATAAGCATTGAAAAATCGGAGGCCTTAACGAAAGTGTTGTTCGGAAACTAAAGCAATGCTCCAGAAAATGATTCTGGGCAACAGTTGGTCATTTTAAAATACGATGGATCAACGAAATATACGAGTTTTATTTAAGAATGGTTAAATTTAAGGTTAGTCGCGTTTGGTCAACGTGACACGCTGACTTCAAAGCAAGGTTTAAAAGTGCGATGAAAAATCATTCAAGGACCCTTCAGTTCCACAACTTTCTCAGAAAACTATTATAACCACGGATAAAGTTATTAACAGGCATGTGTCGATACAATTGACAGGCGGTACTCGTGTAAATGTTGACAACAGAATCACTTTACCGACGGCACCAGTAAAAGTTCGCACGAGAATGTCCGCTTCTTCGCGCACTTTCGGGTGGACATCCAGTTGTCGCAATATTTGCATATTTAATCGACTAAATGAACACGTTGATACTGACAGAAACCGTGCCCAAATTATTCTCGGCGTGCTGACTTTTTCCCGCAACTCATACGTGACAACACGACAAACCCGGAAATGTGGCAGACGGCAGAACGTTATTGGTTGATCTCGGCGCACCGAGTGCATCCAACGACCAATCATCTTCGAGTTCGTTGATCAAGTTCTTTTAAATTTGTGTCTATCGAGGGGACATCGCTCTCTCTTTTAATCGAAAAAACAACTTTCGATGCAATGTTTGGAATTAATTTGAAGCATTAAAAGCATCATTATGTTCGTACGTACATTTCTTCTCAAATTTTACGATGCATATTCTGGCCATGTTATTTGTTTTTGAAAAAAATATTACAGCATATGCTGGTACATTGTAATCATTTAGAACAGTCACGTAGAAGAACGACCTTAGAATTGTTCCACAGTTATGCAAATATTGATATTTACTTAAAAGTAATCGGCGACAAACGGGTTTCAGATAAGATTAAACGACTACCTAGCACTCGTATGTGGATTTCCACAGAAACAAGCTTGTTCGTTCAGTTCTCAACTGGAAAACATTAATTGACCAAAACTTTTATTTCTTCTGAAGGGAATTAAGGTCTTCCAAGAAGTCTGGAAACTATTGGATTAGGGACAATGGGGTTCAAGAGGTCGATGCAAATTCGTAACAAACGCTCGATAAACTTTATTCTTCCGTATGTGACGCGGCAGGATCAGGACCTGAAAGTCCTTACAGCGCGTACAGAAACTTTGCAACTGACGTGCGTTACCATGTGCATACGTGGTCAGAAGATTAGAAAAAAATCTCGCGTGTTATTCGTCGTGTCTCTTACGTAAAATTCTCGTTTGTATAAAAGTGCGACATGTAATTTTTCGGTCACCCATATTTTTCGTCATAAATTCACCGTTCCTCGATGATACCGTTTGCAATTTTTAGTGATATTACCTTATACTATCACACTACTATCCATCAAGTTTCAAAAGAATCCGTTGAGTTTGGGAGGACTTATAAATATTTTTCGAAAATTCGGAGTGACACAATTTTACGATCACTTCATACAATGTGTATTATTTTGATGAAAATTTATTTTTATTGAAAACAACTAAATATAAGACAAAAGGATAGTTAGTGATGTCCACATGATCTTTTAACACATTTTTCATTTGAAACGATCGTAGAGTTGTCACTCCGAACTTTCGAAAAATATTTATAAGTCCTGCAACACTCAACGGATTCTTTTGAAACTCGGTGGGTAGTGGCGCGATAGTATGAGGTAATATCACGAAAAATTGTAAACGATATCATTGAGAAACGACGAATTTATGATAAAAAAAACATGGATGACCGTAAAATTGTATGTCGTACTGTATAAGACAAATCTCGTCGTCGACATAGTAGGTCTTCGCGCGTGAGCCCTCGAAGGGCAACGCTATTAAGGCACTCTATGCCAGGAATACGTTCAGCGTGCACGAGCGGTACATGAAGTACGAAGTACGTAATTATTCGTATGTATCTATAAAAGAACTGAAGTATCGCTTACGGTAAATAAATGCGCATAAATATGTGCTGGCTCGTGGTTCGAGGGAAATTAAAACTAGGTGTACCCTAAAATTAATTGGACGGCGGTCTAATGCTTACTTTATCGGCCCGTTCTCTTTTATTGATCTGATAGAATTTCTTCGATGAAAGTGTGAAGTATTCTGTTTGGAAAACTTATTGTTAGTTTGATTCGTGTTCTCTACTTTTAGGCGTCGCTTGTATTAGGCTTTTTACTATTTGTTTAATGATTTTGTGATGTATTATTTTTTTTCCTTCGACAGGGCCCTCTCCAGGTGTCCCTAATATGTAATTTGGAGATCTGGGATGTGTCCCAACTATTTTATGAAATGATCTTACAATTTACTTGAGTAATGATTTTTAAACTTCAAACCTTTCATTGGCAATGAATAAAGCTACACGAAGAACTCTATCAAATTAGAAATAAAATTGAAATGAAATTTCATAAAAGATTTCTCAGAAATTAATCTATTCGTGACATACAATCAATGAATAAAATCGTAAGAACTGGATGTCGAGGAAACACTCATGCAAAAATTCCCGTTATTTCCTAAACGGGAGGACACACTCTATTGTCTATGGTCCTTAAAAAGAAAATTGCCGAATTTTGGCGGGAGAACGGGTCGTTTGGTAAACCTAAAACAAAATAACGTAAATGCTATGATTGTACTTGCTAGAAACGGCAATGAAGAGGTCGCCTCTCGGACAATCTCGACGACCTTCATAGCCAGAGTGTTTCTCCAAACAGAAAATACGGGAACACAGTCAAAATCATGGTGCAAACTTTCGTTTAAAGAAAACTCGTGAACTCGTTCGTTGAGCGTACCGTTGAATTAAAATATCTATACACTCAATCGAGACAATATACAACACACTAAACTCTCTCTATACATGTAGCACGACCACAGAATCGTTGTGTCGCACGACAGTACAGTGCTGAAAACACAATGGCGATGACGATACACTCAACTTCGAGTTCAACGAGCCAATACGGCTACAAAGGTCGCGTTTGCGTGCAGGCCCTATCACGGGGGGTTCTCACACTTTCAGGGACCTCGAGTTCGTGATGATAATTAACAAATTTGTATGTGTCCTTACAATCAGTTCATAGTTCATATCAGTTCAAGGGAAAATACCACTGCTTTTCGTTCCGAATCTGTTAAATAGGATTAACCTATATTGATCTGTTTATCGACAGAGTGCTCTATTTTACCAGCACAGTGTCTTATCGACAGGCGGTTCTACATTACCGAGTCTTATCGGCAGAGCGCTCTATCTTATCTGCCAAACGAATCCTGCTTTAACTGACAAACACAAGAATGAAACGCAGTAACATTCCTTCTTGTACCGAAATTATTAATTATTAGGCAACAAACGAGGCTCCTTTTTATCATACTAGGGAATTCTGAGAGGCGTACAAAGATCTCTGAGTGTCCCAGGCCTGTCTCGATCTTCGAGAGGCCCTGGCCGCGTGTTCCCCAGACAGTTATGATTCGTTTGCTTGTTTCCCGTTAAACACGGCGAGTATAGTCTGCGACACCTGGAACCACATCCTCGTCGAGGTGACCCAGATCGTGATTAGTAGATCCAATTCACTGGTACCCATTGATGCTCGGTGGCCAATGCGTCTAACGCTGCGATCACCTGTCTGAATGCGTTGTCGAAGTCCTCGTTCACTATCACCATGTCTATGTATTTTTCATAGGCACGCTGCAGAGCTGCGGACTCCTCCAGTGTGGTCTTCATATCGTCCTCCTGTTAGTCGGAATAGACATTAACATTTCGATGACTCGTACTTTGGTTTTATGATGTAGAGTGAGATCTCAGGTGCATTTCAATTAAAAAGTGACCGTCACGTGTGCAGTGATTTTTGTACAGTTGGATTGGTGCTGGCTCGGGAATGATTTTGTAATTAAAACAAATATTAATTATCGTTTGTTATATTAAAAAGATGATTTAGGAGAACGGAGAGTAATATTCTTCGGTAGAACAGCTCACAAAAATATCGTGTTTAATTTAAAATGGAAACACTTTATTTTATAAAATTCCATCACAACTGATACTGCTCCATTCATAAGTTTTTATTCTTTGGTGTTCGATATTTGGTTAGTAAGGGACACTAAAATTCAGTTTCATCGTTGAGTAGAAAATACATAATTTCGTTAATTATTGATGCGTTTACTATTCCACTTTGGTAGATGAACAAACTTGTCTGGAAATACTTATTTCTGTTAAAGTTAAGTTACGCGTTACATTACGAGATAATCAATTGTGATTGTAAATACGATTGGAAAATCAGTGAATAAGTGATCGTGCGGCATGCAAATCAATTAAATCGTGGACCAGTACTTAACTTAGTATTGCAAATACTAATACCCACGTATTTTTTAAATTGATTCGTCATAAATATTACTAAAGTGTCTAGTGGTATATTGTCCTGCGATACATTGTAATAATGGCCTACCAGCAAATTACGCTACACAACTACGGCTAATTACGCTACAACAGGAAACGAATGTAGTGAGAATTCATGCAATACAAACCTCGTACAACGATGCAATGGACTCCAGCGTCCTAGCTCGCCTCGAGCTGTACCTTATGGAACTCTGGCGGTCAAACTAGCAAAGCCAACATCAAATACATACGAAAGATTAAATAAAGAACGCTACGTAAACTGGAGGGAATGTACGTGAGCGAATAGAAATATTTGGGTAACGTAGACAACTTCTTACAGTTGGACGGTGAGAAGTTCAACGGTGGGAGCGTATAGCGAAGCTGGGTCATACTTGATCCGTGGCAAAATTCTTTTTTTGTATCAATAGCGAGGCTTGCAAAAATTAAAACCAATTTCAAGCAATTTTCCATCTATACGAATAGAGAACAAATACTTATTTATGTGAAGTTATTGTTTGGTATACTTTTGAGTATATCTTAAAATAACCATTTATTATGTTTCAATGTTTGGTATCGAGTCACTTGAGATACATATAAAATTTATTCTACACAATAAATTAATCCCAATTCTGACGTAAAATAATATGGATTACAATTGACCCAGCTCCACAAGTGAATAGTTCAAGGAATGGTACGAACGATTTAGACCAGCCTCCAGAGACAAAAGATCGCCGCAAAAATGCGATAACGTGAAAGAAACTTTCTATTGGCATCGAGCCTGCCAACAATTTGTATTTATATAAAGTTTCTGTTTCAGATCGACAAAACCTTCTCGCAGTTAGTCTGAAAATACTGAAAAACTGTAAACTGTGTCCTTCGCGATTTTGTTACGTTTCCCTTTGGATTCGTTCGCGCAAAATGGGCTACTTAAAATTCACTTTTAAATAGACTTCGTCGATTCCACAAAAGTCTTCGTCTAATTATCGCATCTTAAGAAACTCTGGGGACTGACCTAATTCCGTGGGGCAAACCAATCGTTGGATCATCGCAATGAAACGGAAGTGCATGCGATACATTTACAGTAAACTAAATTACACGCATTTATACGACGATTGCAAACAGACTGGCAAGCAGGGATTCGAAACGCTGTAATCGTTAAACGTTTGATCGTCGCGTCTGTTTTGAACGCAGCGTCTGCCACGTTCGCTCCTTTGCGAAA